AAGCAGTAGCAGTTAAAGAAGCAAGCGAGGTGAGTTCTATTCAACAACAATTGACTGAGCTGACTTCATTTGTTTGACAATTTTTTGTAGGAAAGGCACAAGTTAAGGCTTGCGGAATCTGCACAAGTTCAGAACATCCTACAAAAATTTTCGTACCTTGAGTCAAGAAGTAGATGTCAGTGCTGCAGGATTCATCCAAAGAGCATACAACCACTACTCGAATACCTACAATCCAAGATGGAAAGATCAATAAACTTAAAGTATGGGAATCAACAAGCTAACTTTGGAGATCATTCGAGAGGATTCCTAGCACCTAACCACCCTCCACAACCCTCTCAAACGGTTCCGAGTAATTCCTTAGAGGATATGATGAAAACTATGGCGTCTAACATGTTGCTTTTTTCAACAGAAAACTCGGAATAGCATAAGTCAAATAGCGAATGAGATGTGCGAGATGAAGCAAGAGAAAAAGGCAGATTGCCTTCACAACCCAACGCCAATCCGAGGAATATGAGCTCGATTGTTAAACAAAATGGAAAATATTCGGATGTATCAAAGATAGGAGTTCCAAAAGACATGAATGAGAAAGACATTGAGAAAGAAATAGAGCAAGCCGTCACTGAAACATCGAACAAGGTACTTTCGATACACTTACTAATACTAAAACTAATGTTGCACCATTTCCTTGTAGGTTGGTGAAACCAAAGAAGGATGACAAAAATAAGGAGATGATAGAGATGTTTCGAAAGATGGAATTGAACATACCCTTACTGGATGCAATCAAGCAAGTGCCAAAGTATGCAAAATTTCTGAAGGATCTTTGTGCAAACAAGAAGAAACTCCATGGAGACGAATTCATTATTGTTGGTGAGAGCGTATCTGCCGTTTTACAACGTAAGCTCATCTTAAATGTGGAGATCCAGGTATGTTCCCGGTTCCTTGTAAGATAGGTACGTTGGAGACTAAACGAGTAATGTAAGATTTAGAAGCTGCAATTAATGTGATGCCCAAGTCTATTTATAAGTCATTGAACATTGGGCCTTTCAAAGAAACTGGAATTATTAAACAATTAGCTGATAGGACAAACGCTTACTCTGAAGGAATGATTGAAGATGTCATAGTGCAATTCAACGAATTAATTTTTTCGGTTGATTTTTATGTGCTTGATATGCATGATGATAATTCTCTAAATCCTGCACCGATTTTACTAGGTAGACCATTTATGTGCACCGCACAAACTAAAATTGATGTAAAACAGAGTATACTTTCTATGGAATTTGATGGTGAGAAAGTGCAATTTAATATTTCTGATTCTTAAAATACCTTGAAAAATCTAATGTATTGTGCAGTGTGAATGTTATTGATAAAAGTATGCAAGGAGTCTTGAGATTGCATGAGAAATCTATCCTGAACATAAAATCGAAGCCGCATCCAAATCAGTTGGAGCCTGCTCACTTAAATGATAATGTGAATCTTGCAAAGAAATTTTTTTGTGAGTAATCATCGTTTTAAACATGGAAGTAAAAGACAAAAACTGAAGTGGGTAAGACGGTCTGAAGTAGTGCTATCTAATGGCTAACATGGCAACTGCGTCTAGCCAAAGACGTTAAAGAGAGGCGCTTCTTGGGAGGCAACCCAAGTTTTCTAGCTTTATTTCTTTTATTTTCTTTATTTTTTATTTTCTTTATTTTTATTTTTAAACATCGCCTATTTGATTTGGATTCTTTATTTTTTGTAGGAAGCTTCTTGGAGAATTTTTTTTTAAAAAAAAAGAAGACGCTGTCGTTTTTCTTCTTCCTCTCTGCTCAGCTTATCCAACCTCGGTGAGCCATCGATTTTGGTATTGGAATCCAAAGAAAAAACATGCAGTCACACCAATCCTATGGATTTCAGGGAAGTTCCTCTCTTATTTTACTTTTTTTTTACATTGAGGACAATGTTTGCTTTAGGTGTGGGGAGAGAGTAATGCAAATTTTTTGGTCAAATTTTTCAGTTTGTGCTACTTTTGATGCCTGATTTGTTGTCCTTTCGCATATTTTTGAGATTTGTCTGAAGTGAGTCAAAGGTGGTTTGTGTGGTAGGTTAGTCTGACATGATTGATGACTTTGAATTTGAAATATGTTGAGTCAGGTTGACATTTGAACCCTGTGAGAATTTGAGTATGTATTCCAAAAAACTTACATTAGAAAATAAACTACATATTATCAAGCTTTCGGAAATTCTTTCTTGTGTGATTTGTAGTGCTCAATTAGATGACCTAGAACTTGAGTGATTATGCATGTTGAACTTACAACTATCGAGTCTTGCATTTTGAAAATGATAAGGGCATTAGGTAACCCATTGAGCCTTTCTTTATCACCCAGCACAATATATTTCCCCTAGTTAGCCCATTTGAGACTTTTTAGCCTATTTTTCTTCTACATTAAACCGTCTTTAAGCCACGTACCCTTCTTTTGATATTAAACCTTCTCCGATTTGAACCCTATGTTAGAAAGAATTACTTTAAGTTCACGTTGTGATGCACCTTATTTGTTTGGCACCAGTTAAAAATGAAGTTTGAGTATAAATAAATAATGCATTCAGAAGTGTTTGCTTCAATGAGAACGAGTAGTGCAAGACGTATATATATATATATTTTTAAAAAAAAGAGGCCAGAAAAAAAAAAGAAGATAGAAAAAGGCCCTAAAAAGAAAAAAATAATAATAATAAAAAAAAATCATATTGATGAAGTATTATTGATATAATTATATTATTGAAGTTTGGGTAATGATTATTGTTATGCGAACTATTTTTCACGTGCTAGCATCGTGTTCTTATTGTGTTCTTTTTAAATATATTTTCGCCTTCGTATATCCTTTTTTTTCTACCCCTAACCATCAGTTCCGTTACAATCTTTATAAAAAGTCCCATTGATTTGATGTTAGATTCGAGTATCTTAAGCAAGGGAGATTTGATTTTCATTCAAGTCTATGGGATAATCTTTTGTCGCACTATTTGAGCATTAGTTGATTATATACACTTATTTCTTTCAGATAACATGCGCGCATACACTTTATCCTGTGGATTGACTTGGCTTGATATGTTGAATTTCCAATTGATTTGGTTGAGTTAGATTTTCTTGTCATATTGAGTTGCCTGCGATTTCTTTTGACTTATTTCGAATTAATGCTTGAGGGCAAGTATGATCTAGGTGTTGGGAGATTCGATAGCCATAAATCGCATACATTAAATATTCATATTATTTGTGATATTTGGTTGATTTTGATTAGATTTTACCTGATTTGGCTATATATTATTTATTTATGGTTTGCAAAAGAAAAATAATAAAATTGATAGAATTACAGGGAAAAGAGAAAAAAAAGACCCAAAGCCCAATTGTTACAAAATTAGGGCAACTAGTGACAGACACCATTAGGAAATCACGGAATTAATTTTAAACAATTTCGCATAGGCAATTGGTAATTTGAATTAGGCTCTTCTAGTTTGCAAGACGGTTAGACTAGTAAATTCTTTGTGGCGTTACTAGGGTTCTAGTCTAATTAGGGAAGCAGTTGACGGGCGTACTTGGACTGTTGAAAAATTAAGGAATAGTTGGTTATTAGGCGCGTGTCGGTAACTATAACTAATTTATTTGTAAACCAATATTATTAAATATTTATCGATGATCCAAATCCACTACCCAAGTTGTCAATTTCATTCTTAGACTTTAAACTTATTTTTATTGAATTTATCTTTTAGTCGTAGATTTTTTAGTTTGTTATTTCATTTTTATTTCCTACTTTCAAAATCGTCTTTTTATTATTTTTATTGTTATGTTATTTTTATTATATGTATTGTGTATTACTTTTTTGCCTCCTGACTTTTTTGCTTTTCAAGTCTCTGCATGAGTATGATTCATTTTTAAAAATATATGTGCCTAAAAATAACCCCTGTTGTTTAAAAAATATTATTGTTTAGTTATCTTTTTATTTTTTTTAATTAATGAGATTATTTGAATTTAGGAAACAAAAATATATATATCATTCAAAATATTTTTGAATATATTTAATGGACTATGCGCGCCCATAGGTTGGATTGAATTTTAAAGATAAAAAACTTAATATACCTAAAATATACCAACCCCAAAAAAATAATAAAGCCCAATAGATTAGACCTAGTTAACCAACACGTCTCATTTTACAGCTCAACTACTTTGTTAACAACTAATAATAATAATAGGTTCATACCCTGCCTATGGTAGTGTAGAGATGAATTCATAATTACGAGGTTATGGGTTCAAATTTCAAATACCTCCAAGTTTTGCCTGTGAGACATAGTTCGTGTGATTTGACTTGCCTTGTCGGACCTAATTTGGACTATTAGGTTTGGTCAGAATTTACCCACAGCGCACTCGATTGTAGCTGCTGCAAGTTCTCACATTATAAAAAAATAAAAAGCTAAATTGCACAAAACTTACATGTGGTTTTATGAAATTGCGTCAAATCCCTATTACTTCTAAAACTGCGTCAAACTCACTCGTGGTTTCATAAACTCTGCCTCTAACCCTCGGCGGTCCTTATTTAACGATGTTTGATTTAAATACGCTGAAAGTGCGAATAAATTTTAGAATCTCAATTTCTAAACCGCTAAAATTATAAATATATTCAATTTTTTTATATTTAGTCTCAAAAATAGTAAATATATTAAAAAATAATTATTTTTCTAAGATTTTAATAGTTTATTTTTACTCTTTTTTGGACTAAATATAAAAAAAATATATGTAATTTTAGAGGTTTAGAAATTGAAATTTTAAAATTTATTCGCAATTTGGGCGAATTTAGAACAAATAACGTTAAATAAGGACCGTCGAGGGAGTTAGACACAAAATTTATGAAACCATAGAGGAATTTGACGCAATTTTAAAAGTACGGAGAATTTTGTGCAATCTCATGAACCACATGTGAATTTTGTGCAATTTAGCCAAAATAAAACAAAATAAAATAAAATAATAATAATAATAATAATAATAATAATAAATAAATAAATAAACATAGACATGGGCAATAATAAGATTCAGGGATCATCACAAAAAGCTTCATAAAATAATAAGTAGATATAACAGAAATACATACACCCCATCCCGCCCCATGGTTCTAAAGGCATCTTCAAAATATTTAAAACATGTCTTTCAGCAATGCAACGATGGCGAAACTCAACTACTTATATAAAGTTGTGCCTTCTTCGGCCACCAATCATTCATTCTGATCTACTGCACCAACACTGGAATATAGTAAAATTATAAATACCATTTGTAGAGGAGGGATCAACATCTTACATCTCCCCACAACCTTGTCGAAAATTTCTTCTTACATCCAATGGTACAAAAACGGAAATGTTGTGGATTGATCTTCTATACACCTGTGGTTACAAATTCCTGGTCCTGTCATCTCCAAAATGTCTGTATAACCAACCACCCATTTAATTATGGAGACCCTGATATTAAACACCGAGCATCAGGTGTCCTTAGTCTGTGTAAGGCTGAGAGTCCATGCATAGATGGACTAGCTTCCTTTGATACTGTCCAAAGTATTCGTCAACTGCTATAACATCTTCGCTTTGAGGATTCAGCCCGGGCAGGTTTAGTATCTTACTTTTTAAAGAAGCTGTTTCTTCGTCAGATTCAGACTCCAAGTGTGAGAGAAACTCAGCATGAAGTTCTCGGCATACAAGTATGAACATGGATGCAGTGTCCGGAAGTTGTGCCTGACGAAGTGCCGCCAGAGCCTCTTGCAATGAACCGGCCGCAACATACAGGATCAGTGCCCTACAAATATACAGCTCTTTTAAGATATGAAGTGAACAAATACTGATTTGAGAAACATGTACCTCCAGATGTTATGTTCGGCATGAAGAATATGGTCTGCCCATCTTTGTAACACCCTGCGTATCAATCGAACATATCAAACTCTACGATAGCAAAGTCAGTCATGTAGCTAGAGTCCCTATAATCAAGCTACTCCTAATAAAACCCCTATAACAATTTAAGGTCATTTGGCATTTGGGTGAACAAGCTTCTAACTTGAATTCATAAGGATTATAAGGAGACACCTACGACGGGAGAGATTTTTATATGTTACCTTCTAGTCCCCAGAAAACAATAGATCATTTAAAATTTTATCTTCAATAGGCCACAATAAAGCAGTACTTTGAATCTTATGAAATTCTTTACATTAAATCTGTGTGAAGATGGGAAATACCTTGCATAATCAGACCCTTTCAAATGAGTTGCTGCTAATGTTGCAGCATCAGTCCAACATCCTGCATCTTGCAACTGCAGAAGAGTTGAACTACGGATCAGAATAAGCAAATGAGAGAATCACCCTTCTGAATTTGATCAAAACAATTTTAATAACTACACTATATACAGCAAAAACTGTGTACATGCTCGTGAGAGTATGCAACTATTAGATCAAACAATTTAGACAAAATTTTCCATAACTTCCTTGTGATCTTGAAATTTAGCGTAAATCCCTCATTTACTTTAAAAATTGCATGATGTTCCCTTATACTTTAAAAACCGTTACATGAAACTCCGTTGTGATTTTGAAACTCAGTGTAAATCTCCACATTATTTTAAAAATTGCATGAAGCCCCCTAATATTTTCAAAAATGTTGCATGAAACCCCCTGTCATGCATAAAATATAGATAGAAAATTATCTTCTCATCACACAAGGGAAGTTTCATGGCGATGGGTTTCATGGAACATTTTGACATGTAATTTTTAAAGTACAAAAAGATTTTACGCAGAATTTTCAAACCACATGGGAGTTATGAGCAATTTTACCAACAATTTAAGAAAAAACAAAATAAAACAAATAGAACTAATATGTAATTAAAAAAATTTACTTTGTTAAAATGTATTTGTGTGAAGCTTCAATATATATTATACCATATGGCACTTTTAGCAAAAGGAGATTAGATTTAGAGTTTGCATAAGCATTGTATCCAAAGCTTCTCAATGGGTATTGATTTCAATACTTCAAATCATATGCTTTCCACTATGTGCACAACCCTTCATTCCACTAATGTTACAATTGCCAACAGTTCCACTCTTTCCTTCATTCTATGTTAAAGTTACACCATTTCCCATTCAGCTTATTATCCAATTAAAACCTCTCAATACAAGAATTGTTCCTCCTCCTTCCCTAGTCATTGTGTTTTTCAGAATCCTATTACAAAAGTCTTAAAATTCTACATAAAATACAATATATATATATGCATATATATAAGCCTAGTGGGGTTAACCCTAAATCAAAGAACAACCATCTATCACTCCCCCTCAGGCTGGAGCATATAAATCGAATATGCCATGCTTGTCACACAAATACTTGATATGAGGACTTTTAAGAGACTTGGTGAAGATATCAGCAAATTAATCAAAGGAGGTACATAATGCTAATGCACATAGGTAACATTTTCTTCTTAATGGAAAACTTGATTGCGCTTGCCATGTTTCCAAAGATTTCATTCAAGTCCAAGGTTAGGATTATATTGATACCTTCTCTTCTGTGGCCAAATTTCCTCTATTCGCCTATTTATTTCTCTTGGTACTGTTCAGGGTTGACTCCTTTATTTGTGGACATAAAGAATGCTTTCCTCCTAGTGATCTTTAGGAGGATATTTATATAAAGCAACAACCTAATTTTGTTGCCCTGTGTAACCTTTGATGTTCTTTGTATGGCTTCAAACTGTCCCCTCGTGATTGGTTTAGTCGGTTTAGTGCTACTATATAGAAATTTAGGATGACTATATATGAATCTTTGGGAAATTAAAGATGAGAGAAAAAAGATTATATATTTCCACATTGATTTGAATTGATAATATGATACCGACGAATCCCGGCAACGTCGAGAGAATCGACCGCTAGTAGTTTACTCGCGGCGGTCTGGAGGGAAGCAAACTACTTTAAGTTGATAGTAGCATTTTACTTATTTGGTAGCACTTTATTTATTTGAGTATTTTGGCTTTTATATTTAATTCTATTGCGAGGTCTAATAATAAGATCATTGGGCCATTAGATCCCGATAAGAAATCTTTAAATAGGTTCGAGTCACAAGTCTTAGGGATCATCTAACGTTTTGGTAATCAACTTTTTGGTTGGAACGAAAGACTCTATTCAATAATGATTCATATTTTACGGCGTATCAATTGGTCCGGCCTGCCGAATCTCGGAAGGGAGTGTGAAGACACGCTCTGGAGATATGCAAAGCCGACTTAGAGCGCTAAAAGATAACTTAATCGCCGTGGCTGTAGCACATGTGAAGACGCAACAACAAGTGGATATGATTAAGACGATGCAGACTCAGAGCAACAATTTGAACTTCACAATGTCATAGGGTATCGTTGAGTACTGTTAGCAATGGTTGTCATAGAAGGATCGGAAAGGCAGAGCATCATTTTGGGCTACACAATGTCGTGGGATATCGTCAAATACTGTTAGCAATGGTTGTCAAAGAAGGAATGACATTGAATTGGTTCTGTTACTTTCGATCCAGACACGAGGATTCATCGTGGCGCGATCGATGCAAACAACCCTATAACCCGACTCATGCGAGCCCAATGAAACAAATAAGTACGCTGATCACGGACGAAAGGAAGTCTTGGGACCCCAAGCTAGAATAGGTGAACAATGAACATAGTAAGTATTAAAAAATGGAAATAGGGACGACAAAAAAAGAACGTACGGGATACATCCCTACCCTTGTATTCAATAGCGGGCTTCACGTGTAATACCCCGTAAAAATACTCGCCGGAACTTGCCGGAGTTCGACGCCTAAGTCGGATAATATTATTTTGGGCTTTTGGTGTAAGAAATTAAGAAATTGGCTTTAAATTAAGAATAAAATTGAGCTTGGGGTAAAATAAATAATAAACGAGATTTAATTTATCCGTATCTCTTGATTTAGATATCTTTATCCATAATTTGTTAAAATATATCATATCCAAGTGTGGTTTGGTTAAGATATAGTGTATCCAGGTTAGAGTGCCTATATATATATATATCTATACATAGAAGATGAGTCCAAGTCTTTTATGTTTAATAAAAAGTATAAAATAGAATAAAAAAATTTAAAAAAAAACAGAGAGAAGCAGCCGACACGCCGCCAGCCCCCTTTTCTTCCTTGGAATTCTTCCTCTCCAAAACTTTTCTTTTGGTCTCTTCTCTTAAGGTAAGTGAGATTAATCTTAGATAGATGATATGTTCTAATCCCTAAACCCCTTCTATTGATATTTTTCAAAATTATTGTCAAATGGGTTTGCCCTAAAAGTGTTAGGTTTTGCCAATTTCTTCTAGAAAGTATATTATAATGTCATCTAAGGCTTATGTGAAGATTATTATTGTATTTTAAATTGAAAATCGTAGAATTTATGGGATGTGTTTGAAACCCTAGTTTTACCCTAACCTAGTTATGGTTTTTGGAAAAAGATTTACAATTATATTTAAATATTATGATTTTTTGGAATTAAACCATGCCTATTGTGATTGACATATTATTCAAATGTTTATTTGGCGAAATAAAGAGATTATGGCGAACTTGTTGGGTCTAATATCCTACTTTTGCTTGGTTAAATGTTGACAATTGGAATGTTTTGAGTTTAAAGCTCTTTTTTTTAAAAAAAAAAAAAATTGCCTAAGAGCATATGGAGTATTTAGTCAAATTGGTAATTGAAACTACCCTTCAAGCCCGATCAACTCGTCGATTGTTTGGATGATAAGGCATAGCCTTCCACCTCTGTGTCTTGCAAACACGTGAGGGTATATCGGTATTTTCAGATAACTAGCTAACCTTGAACTAGATCCCAAATGGGCTAGGTCGAGGGATCGAGATGGCGGGTTCCCTTTTTGGGTGATTCAGAGATGCCCGTCATTCACGATGAAAAGGTCTTTAGACTGTCATCCGTGATGGAAGGATGGATTGCGTACAATCCCCTCTTAGTATATTATATTGGAGACTAGAGGGTTATGGGCCGTTTGGCGCCCCTTGCAAACTAATAATAAATTGATTTACGTGTACTTTGGGTTTCGAACCCTTATGTACACATTGTGGAGTTTTCATTGAGGGTTATGACCCTATGTTTGTTATGTGAAACTATGTGAAGTGTCAGACGAAGTAATAAAGTTGGAAAACTGGGTCGAGTTGGCCCTAATTAAGACCTAGTGGAGTTTTCTTCGTGATGTGCTCATTACTATTATTTGAGAATGAAAAGGAGATATAAAGGAGGCGCTAAAAGACTCAATGTGTGTGAGTTCCCCTTATGTAATACGTGTCATCTTATTCAATTATCTTCTTCAAATGATTTTGTGGCATTATACCGTATTAATGTATCTTTGATTAATTGCGCTTACTCAACCGTTGTGTTGACCCTCTTTTTACAACTTTTTTGTAGGTGATGATGTTTCTGTTATACCTAAATGATGCATCCACGTTATATGATCCATCGGGGAGAACTGTAACTACTTTAACTTCTAAAATGCTTTTGAAATTCATTAATTATATTTAAAGACTAATGCCTTTTGAACTATTTTCAATTTATGTTTTTGATTCGAACTTTACTTATTTTAATTAATAAGCCGGTGCGCTTTAATTCTAAATCAAAAAGTAGATGTTTGTATTTATTGTTTTAGCCTTATCGCCATAACGTAGGACTCATTGGTTGATGAACGAACTTTTCGGTGTGGCGTGGCGGTGACGCTCCGGTTTGAGCCGGCCGGAGTGTTACATCACGAGCCGTAAACTATTAGAGTTTATGATATGCTTAATAGAATAGAGGTGGCGATACTTTTGGATAGTTGTGTGAGTCATAATTTCGTGTTGCAGAAATTGGCGGTGAGATTATAGTTGTCAATTATATATCCTGGAATGTTTACAATGAGCAAAAATTGGCGAGGAGATTATAATTGTCAATATTATATGTTGGATTATTTGCAGTGGCGCTCGGGGAGAGGAGATGACTGCTGTGTACTGAAGTAAGTAGGGCTATATAGTTGGGGGTTGGCAAGGCAAGTATTATGGCCGATTGTTACATATTTCCACTTAGTAGTGTAGATGTCATACTACAAGTTGCGTGGATGCACACTTTGGGCGACGTACGAGTCAATTGGGTAACTATGATAGTGATATATAACTAACAAACGAAGCTTGTGCCCTTTCAGGAAGAGCCGACCCTATCGCACTCACTGGTGGCACTTCGAACGTCGTTGAAAACAAGAAAGTTTTAGTTCTGGAACCGGCGAGTTGTGTAAAGACCCGAGGAGCCATGTCAGCAATGTTAGCCAACAGTGCAAGCTGAGGGGGGTTGTGATAAAGTACCAGAACAGTATCCAGACGTGTTTGAAAGTCGGGAAGATCGCCACCAATATGCAAGAAAGACGTGCCCTTTCTTTGACGACATATTGGTATATAGTCTTACATGCATTTGATGTTTGTGAAGGAGCTGTTACAGACGAATCCATTTACGATGAACAGGAAAAAGTGTTTGTACGGATATGTGGAGGTGGAATAATAAAATCATGTTTCTGCTGTGGGGGTTGTTATGGACCGGGGAAAGGTTCGTGTGGTTCAGACATGATCTACTCTAATTTCGGCTTGGGGAGTTCATGGTTTCTTTGGTTCGACATAATATTATAGGAGGTTTACACGTGGATATAGGGCTCCCGCTAGGCTTTTCACCACACGAGATTAGGGATGTCAAATGGGACAGGTTAGCCCCGGATCCGCTCTAAAAAATTTGGTTCGGGGTGGGTTGTGGATTTTGAGTTTCAGACCCAGCCGGGTTCGGGGCTGGTTACGAGTTCTACTAAAAACCCACCCCTCCCCGGACCCGGACCCCAACCAGAATATTTTAATAATTATTATAATTTATTTATATTTTTATACAATATAAATTATATTATTTATTTATTTAAAAAAAATTAAACATAAAATAGAATCTTAATTTTAAACCAAATTTGTCTTTGTATATGTTTGTTCTACAATTCTCTTTATAATTGGAAACTACAGCTTACTGTCATCACTGCAAATTATTGTCAATATTTGATTGTTCTTATTTTTAGAACTATAATTTTTTTTGGTACTTTGACACATTTTTTTTAATATTAAATAATTTTAAAAAATTACGTTTTCTTCTTTTTCTTAAAAAAAAAAAAAAAAACGGGTTTGTCGGGTTGGCCCCGATCCCAAATGAGTCCTGGGACCGGGTTGAAGCGAAGCGAGATGGGTTTGGGGTCCTAATATTTTTTAGCGGGGTGGGTTTCGAGGCCTGCAAAACCCATCCCGAACACGCCCCATTAACATCCCTACACGAGATTTTAGCGGAGAAGCCGAATTCAACTAGGAAGCCAAAGGTTCTTGTTTTGTGGCATGGTTTAGCCGAAGAAGGCACAACGTGACTCAATTGGGAGAAGCTCCAACAATAATTTCGAGCACTCCACCTTGGGGACATAGCGTCTTTCCCGGGATAGATAATTGATACCGACGAATCCTAGCAACGTCGGGAGGATCAACGGCCAGTAATTAGGCTGATAGTAGCATTTTAATTATTTGAATATTTTGAATTTTATATTTAATTCTAAGTGTTAGGTTTAATAATAAGATTATTGGAACATTAAGGCCCGATAGGAAGTCTTTAGATATTAAGGGTCACAAGTCTTAGAGTTCATCTAGGTTTTGGGAATTAACTTTTTGGTTGGGACAGAAGACATTCCACTGTTTACTATTTTACTATGCATCAAAAACTATGCTATTCGACACTCCAATGAATCTCAACTTATAAAGGGAGAAAGATGATGAAGAATTGTTTCATGAACCCGAGAAGTATCAAAATCTTGTTGAAAAGATATGCTATTTGATAGTAATTTGTCCTAACATTTGCATTTGTGATTAGTAAGTTTATGAACTCGTATATCATGGATCATTGGGCCTTTCTTTTATGTTATTTGGAGGAGAAGCTTGTTCACATGACCATAGAATTATGCATAACAGAACTGTACCTGAGAACAAGCTTCCTGATACCTGCCTACTGCACAAAGCAAGTGTGTACCAGACATTGACCTATCATTCCTCACCATGTTGGCTGCAACCACCTATAAAATAATAGTAAATAACAGAATATTAAGCTTCACTAGGAAGCAGTACTCAATAAAAACAAGCACCTTCACAGCAAGCTCAAGTAAAGAAGTTGACACGGCAGAGGAAAGAGCAATCGCCCGCAGGGAATTTGAATAGAAATAAGAGCTTTCCGGTGATGTTGAAAGCAACAAACTAACAGCAGCTTCCAAATTTCCTACAGACACAAGTCTGCCCACAAAGAAATAAAGCATAATTAGGCTCAACAATGTGGTATTTGCATGAAGTGGCATTTGCATGAAGATTCTACATACTTTACAGCACCCAAGTGTGGGCATGAAGACTATATGCATCCTAAAACATATAAATCACAATATTGCAGCGTCTTTCCAGAAACACATAAATGCATCCAATACACTCCTAAGTTTAATTTTCGGCAGAAAGAAAGTGCATTCACATTGTAGGTAGTGAAAGGTCAGAACTAAAAACCATTTAGTTAACAGAATTGGTAATTAAGTAGACGGATGTATAGCACCAAACAGAAAATAAAGAAGAAAAAAAACGAATTATGACTTGTTGCAACTGAAAGAAACCTCTACAGACTCAGCTCCTTCGGTTGAATTTGCAGTACAAAACCTGAGCTTCTAAAAATAAGATTAAGGAGTGTAGGATTATTTATATTCTATGCTTGATAAGAGTTCCACTTCAGATTAGATATCTTTATTTATTAATAGTAGTTACTAAAGTTTGGGATTATCATATCCAGAAAAAGTTCGGTAATTTTTGTCGTTTGACTTTGCCGAGAAGGCATAGATTGCTCAGATATTGGTCAAAATTTATAGAAAAAATTATAATGAAATGTCAACAATGCTGCAATTATGCTGCAATAATAATAACCTCCAAAAAATAAAACCTTAATATCATTTATCATGTACCACGGTACTAGCACAACCTGTTATAAAGAATATGAGGGAGATTGAATGAGGTGTTCAACTTGAACCATTGAGACCAAACACAGATACCAATATGTTATATGTAAGCTTGAATAGATGTTAACTAATTGTGCACCATTAGTTTACATCTATTCAAGCTTACATATACCTATTGTTAGATACTAACTAGAGAGCATTTATTGGTGTTAAGTAGGTTTGTGATCTTGATTTGTGAGTTACTAAAGTAGGAGAGATTCATCTCCATCCTTCCATCTCTAGGTTGCCTAAAAATATGTGTTATGCATTGTACAACATCAAGATAAAAACTAGCAATTCCCTCTTCTCCCTCATTTTTATCTTTTTACAACATGGTTAGAGCAGCATAATAAGTTAGAGAGTTGTTTTTAAAATTAGTTGTTACGGCTAGCTGCGGTGGCGCTAAACTCTAGGAAATTAAACCCTAATAGACAAAACTACGGATAGATGGTTGAAGACCTAACCAAAAACTTGATCAAACCTAGAAAAAACTTGACAAATAACTCGGATACATCCAGGGAAATTGTTGCAAGAACAATTATAGCTAATCTCATATTCGGGACAAAAGAATTGGAGTGACAAAGGTGCGGTAATTGAGGATCTCGGGGTACATTCCAAGGTTATAAGGATGTACCTACAGAGAGAATTGTCTCTTATACCATGTTATATTTTCAAAAAATTTATGAAATCAAAAGCCTATATCGACGGTGATACAAACCAGATAGACTCAAATAATAATTATGTAATGTGTATAAACCATAAACCAACTATCTAAAATATCCAATTATTCTCCCTCAAACTCGAGTGGTATCAAAAAACAACATGAGTTCACAAGAACATAAGTTCGACAAAAGAGATTAGAGATGACACAACAAGAATCACAGACAAAATTTAAGTCTAAAGCAAGGTCATCAAAATACTATTAGAATCATGTGTTTGTTTGTGAGGTTTAGTTTTTTGGGTTTGGATTTTTGAATAGTAAAAAATTAAATTTGAATAGTTGTTTGATGTGGTTCAAATAAATATTGATATGATGTTTCGAATGTAAAATAAATTTGTAGTATAATATAAAAAAGAATATTTATTTGATATAACATTTTTTGTTGGAAAAAAGAATATTAATAGTAAAAATCTGTGGTAAAACCCACAAATGAACACAAGAGTTTGTTTGTTTGGTAATTTGGTTTGTGTTGAGGTATTTTAGATATTCGATTTTAGATTTAGTAGATTTATATTTAGATTTGGTCTTATTTATGGATTAGATTACTCAGATTTGAGTTTATCAAGTCCGTTTTGTATTGCTTTTATATATAGGCCCCTTATTTTGATGATCAATAATATAATTTCATCTTTGTCGCCTAAAAATTCTAACATGGTATCAGAGCCTACTTTTCTCCTGTCGTCGTAGATATAGCTTACCAACCCCCGTTTCTCCTCGTACATTCAACCTGAAATGTACCCGAAGGTCTTCCAATTTTGAGATTTTACCCATGGTTTCTAATTTTTTTGTTTCTGATTTTAACTTTGTTTTAAGTTCTGATTTTTTCTACAATTGAAGTCATGTTTGTGCATTTGTTTACGATTATGCGATCCGTCTGCTGCGTTTTTTGAGAGCTATGTTTCTGATTGTAATGAAAGTCTCGTTATTTTCGACTTTGTGGAGAGTACTTTTGTCGTTTTCGACTCCAGTAGAGAGTCCAGCTCCGGTAGAAAATCATGTTGGAATTTCGGCTCCAGTAGAGAGTCATGTCATTTTTTGCTCCATTGTGACCTCTGTTATTTTCGACTCTAATTAAGTTGAAAGCATTGTTTCTGGCTTTGAAACGGTAGAGCGGCGGCGGCAAAGACAGACAAACAACTGATATTTTTATTTGAGTCTTTTGTGTCTATATTCAACCTTCTTATCAAACTCAAGTTGATTTCTGTTATACTATTTGCGTTTGATGAGGGATGTTGAGATATTTTAGATATTCGATTTTAGATTTAATATAAATATAGATTTATATTTAGATCTGGTCTTATCTATAGATTAGATTACTTAGATTCGGGTCTATCAAGTCTGTTTTGTATTGTCTATATATAGGCTCCTTATTTTGATGATCAATAAGACAATCTCATTATTGTCCCCCAAATATTCTAACAGTTTGAAAGAATTTTTTTTATGTGAAGTATAGAAAATTGTGTATGTAATATATTATTTTTTTGGGAAAATATGTTGAGTATTTTTTATAAAAAAAAACACACGCTAAAGCAAAGTTTATAATAGAGCTCTCAACAGAGTTGACGTAAAAGAGAGTGCTCCAAACACTGTTAGAGTTGGAATCAAGGCTTTCAACACTGTTAGAGTTGGAATCAAGGCTTTCAACGCAGTTAGGGTTAAAAGCAAGGCTCTCAATGTAGTTAAAGTCGGAAGCAGAACCCTCAACACCATTAGAGTTGAAAGCAAGATTTTCAAAGAAGTTCGAATTGAAAACAAGACTTTCAATGTCGTTAGAATTGTAAACATGGCTCTCAATGCAGTTAGAGTTGAAAGAAGAGTTTTGAGAGGAATCAAGACAGACGATCGAATGTTTACCATAAGTTTTATGAAACTGAAAAATAAATTGGATGAAAAACAAATTTGACAGACAATAGCGACAGCGTAGTTGAATATCTAAAAATCAAGAGACTTCCGCGTACATTCCTAGTTGGATGTACCCAGAGAAACATGACTTTAATACCAATGTACATTTTGGAGAATTTCAAAGTTGCATAAACGGAAACAATAACAACCAAACATAATGGATATGTCTAAATAATAACCACCAAATCAAACTAATATTAACGAAAGTATCTATTTAATCTATATCCCAACATAATGATTAAAATGTATTGTAGAAAATAGAATTTAATTGGTAAGAAATCATGAAGAAGAACAGGACTACGACTAATCCAACTACTCAAGACGTTTCGTTGTTGGGGTGGAAAAAGTCTTTCTCCGGTAGGGGAATGAACAGTTGAGACAAAAGAAAAATAAGGACTGGCAGACCTCATAAGTGACGGTGATCTCCCAACGCAAAGAGTGCGAACAATGATGGCAAGGCTCTAATACGATCAAAGAAACAGGAAAAGCTTTATCTAATATTCCCTCTGTCATACAATCCTATTACCACTTCCCTTTTTGGTTGTAATAAAAAATAGTCTCGTTTAATTTTTTAGGAAAAAATTATACCATTTTCCATATTTTTTTTACTATAGAAGATAAAAAATAAATATCCACAAACAGTATCCACAAACAGTATGGTCATACTTTTGGATTACAGAGGTAGTAATAATTTGTTACACTAGTAAACCTTAGACTACAAATTATACACAGACAAATATGTAATAGGATATACTGTGGACTAAGCTAAATACAAAGTGGGGCTATACATTATGTCCAACAAAGAAAAAAAATAGTGACATGCTATGGAATCGGAAACAGAAGCATTAGAATATAATAATACCTCGGAATTAGTTGAGTTTCCAAAGAACAAATAAGTAACGGGATGTAAGTGGGTTTATGCCTTCAAGGTTAAGGTAAATGGGTCTCTAAGAGGACTTCATGGGTACGTGAACTATTATAGGTCAAAATTATCTTGGAAGACTTGAAGATTAAATGGATCATGCTATACTGTGACAACAAATTAGCTATAAGTATAATCTAGAACCCGGTGCAACATGATCAGACAAAGCACATGAAGATAGACACTTCATTAAAGAGAAGCTAGAAACTAGATTGGTTTGGACTTCATATGTCCCAACAGAAGATGTGATGACAAAGGTATTGTGTAACATGTTTCATGAGTATTGTCAAGCTGGGAAAGGAAGATCTATATTCACTAGCATGAGAGGTTGTAGGAAATCTCGACTGAGTAATTTTAGGAGACAATATAGGTAAATTTACGTAGTGGAGGGAATGAAGGTTAGAAATTCTTTTTTAAAGGTCATAGATAGTCTTTAATATTGACAAATTTAATGGAGTAATGTTACAACAAATTAAGGGATTTGTTAAGAGTGATCTTAGGAATTTTCTTGTTTAGTGTATAAATTGTATATATATTGATTAGAATGTACTGTAGATAATAAAGTTGAAATCTACAAGTCCTATTCTTGTCTACATTATTTTCTTTTTCAATACATCTGATACCATATCTGTATTCTTTTCTGCATCTGTTCTTTTACAATAGATCTGATACCATATCCTAGTATTTTTTTCTACATTCTGTTCACAAAATGCACCCCCCAAGATTCATGACTGTCAAAGAATAGTTGAGTTATAATGTTGTTGAGAAATTTTAGATATTCAGTTTTAGATTTAGTAGATTTATATCTAAATTTGATCTTATTCATAGATTAGATTACTTAGATTTGAGTCTATCGAGTATATTTTGTATTGCCTATATATAGGCTCCTTATTTTGATGATCTAGATACAATATCATAATTTTCCCCAAAATTTCTAACATGGTATCAGAGCTCTAGGAATTTTTCTAAGGTTTTGTAGTCTTCTTCAAATAGCCTTCATCGTTGTGTTTTGCTCTGACCTTAATTGCTGTGAATTTTTCTTCTTCACTAAGTCATGTCTGAAACCATCTCCAACCCTTTCGAAGAATTTAATTCTATTCAGAAAATTGGAGAACCGCAGAATATCCGGACATCCAATAGGTTCAATAGGAAAGAAAATAAAGACAATCTTTGGTGTACTTATTGCAAGAAACCCAGGCATACAAAGGAGAAGCGTTAGAAGCTGGGGCTACCGTGGGGGGCAGTAGCAAAGGCCTCAAGCGCATATGGCAGAGCAGCCCAATAATGAGGAAAATCCAGCAATAGGGGGGTTCAATAATGAAGAAATTGAGATATTGAGAAGTTTGTTAGGGACTCTTGAGAAGCCTTCTGGAACAAGTTCAATGGCTCTTTCAAGTAAACCTGTGTGCATAAATGTCTTAGACAAATTATGTACCAACTCTTGGATCATAGACTCTGGTGCTACAGACCATATGACCCCCACATCTCAATTCTTCCACACCTATACCCCATGTCCAAGTAATAGAAAAATTATTGTGGCCAAGGGTTCTTAGCCACTGTTGCAGGGATTGGAGATATACATATCACACCTAACCTTATCCTTAAAAATGTTGTCCATATGCCCAAACTGTCAACAAGCCTTGTTTCCATTCAAAAGTTGACTCATGACCTTAAATGCTATGCTGTTTTTTGCTGTTCTTATTGTGTTTTTCAAGACCAGGACTTGGGGAAGAGGATTGGACTTGCTAAGGAAAGGAACGGTCTCAACCACCTTGAACCATCTAAAAAACCTAAGAGTAACTTGCCTTCTTCTTTCCTTAGTTCCTCGAATAAAGATGCCATTTGGCTATATCACCTACATCTTGGTCATCTTTCTTTTAGGATTTTAAAAATAATGTTTTCTCATTTGTTCCAAGAATTAGATATTTCTGAATTTCATTGTGACATCTGTGAATTGGCAAAACATATCCGTGCATCTTTTCCTATTAGCAATAAGAGAAGTTCTCTTCCTTTTCACATGGCTCTTTCTTCTTAAACAAAAATCTGATATTACCACTGTTATACCTAATTTTCATTCAATGGTTCAAAATCAATTTGAGGTCAAAATAAAAACCTTTAGGACAGACAATGCTAGAGATTATTTCAATCAAATTTTGTCACCTTACTTTCATTCACAGGGGATTATCCATGATTCATCATGTGTGGAGACACCCCAACAAAATAGGGTAGCTGAAAGAAAGAATAGGAATTTACTCAACACCACCCGAGCCTTACTGTTTCAAGGGAATGTTCCTAAGCCCTATTGAGAAGTCGTCTTACTGCCACATATATGATAAATAGACTTCCCTCCCATGTGTTAAAAAACAAAAGCCCCATAGAGGCCCTTCATAGCTTTTACCCTCACTTCAGAACCTCAAATAGCCTCACTTCTAGGGTATTTGGGTGTACCGCATTTGTTCATGTCCACAAACAACATAGAGGGAAGCTAGACCCTAGAGCCATCAAATGTGTTTTCCTCGGTTACTCATCCACTCAAAAGGGATACAAATGTTACAACCCCTTGACCAAAAAATTTTACATCTATGCGGATGTCACTTTCACAGAAGATAGACCTTTTTTCAAATCCTCTCTTCAGGGGGAGATTTCAATGATGGAATATAGTACTTGTGAATTTTTCGAACCACTTAAAATCCTTGACCTTCCGCATGTGCCACCCCGCAGTCACTCAGAACAAAACCCTCTTCATGTTCCGGTTGAACCTGAGTCCTCTAAACCAGTCACATTTGAGTCACCCAATCTTGTCACTGAACCCATATCATCTCCTTCTCCAACCAGCATCACTCGCAATTTTCCAAAGTTTCCTCAGGTGTATTCAAGGAGAAAGACCGTTCCTGAACTGACACAAGTCCAAAAATCCAATCCAAATTCTGAGAAAGAAATCATCAGATCCACCTTTACACACATAATCTGTTGAACAGTTCACTGATTCAACTACTGTTCTAGATCTTCCCATTGCTGTTAGAAAAAAAACCAGAGAATGCACTAGACGACCACTCTATCCTCTATCTCACTATGTCTCTTTTAAGCGCCTATCGCCAGCCCAAAAGGGATTCATTGTGAGTTTGAACACCATTGCCATCCCTCATAATGTGTCTGAGGCATTGTCAAAAAATGAATGAAGGGATGCTATGAGAGAAGAGATGAATGCATTAGAGAAAAATAAAACATGGGAGATCATTGATAAACCAAAGGGAAAAAACATTGTTGATTGCAAATGGATTTTTACATTGAAGTACAAGGCTGATGGATCCCTTGAAAGATATAAAGCAAGGTTAGTAGCCAAAGGATACACTCAAACTTATGTGGTGGATTATCAAGAAACATTTGCTCAAGTTGCAAAAATGAACACAGTAAGAATTTTGTTATCATTGGCTGCTCTCTTTAATTGGCAACTGCTACAATATGATGTTAAGAACGCATTCCTCCATGGTGACTTAAATGAGGAAATCTACATGAACATTCCACCAGGATTTGAAGGGGACACTAGTAACAAGGTGTGCAAACTGAAAAAAGCCCTTTATGGGTTAAAACAATCTCTTAGAGCATGGTTTGGCATATTTGCAAAAGTCATGAAGGAATTTGGGTACAAACAAAGCCAAAGTGACCACACGCTTTTCATTAGCATTCAGCTGTAGGGTGAGTGATTGCTCTTTTGGTCTATGTGAACGACATCATAATGACTGGAAATGATGAGAAAGAGAAGCATGAATTAAAGCTGAGAGTAATGAAAGAATTTAAAATAAAAGAACTAGGGAAATTGAAGTATTTCCTCGGTATTGAGATGGCATATACTAGACAAGGGATCTTCATACTTCAACAAAAGTACGTGCTTGATTTATTGGCAGAAACAGGGAAGATTGGGTGTAAGCCAATTTCTACTCCCAATAGATCCAAACTATAAATTGGGAGAAGCTAAAGAAGAACCAAATGTGGATAAAAGAATGTACCAGAGGTTGGTTGGCAAACTTATATACCTTGCTCACACTCGACCAGACATAGCATATTCTGTAAGTTTGATCAGCCAATTCATGCATGATCCAAGAGAACCTCATCTACAAGCTGCTTACAGAGTACTGCACTACTTGAAAGACAATCCAGGGAAAAGGAATCTTGTTCAAAAGGAATGACACTCTTACGCCTACACCGATGCTAACTATGCTGGCTCCAATGTTGACTATGCTAGCTCCCTAGTGGATAGAAGATCAACTGCAGCGTATTGTACTTTTCTTGGAGGTAACCTAGTGACATGGAGGAGCAAGAAGCAAAATGTAGTGGCAAGGTCATCAGGAGAATCAGAATTTAGGGCAATTGCTCAAAGATTATGCGAATTACTTTGGCTTAGGATCATTTTGGAAGATTTGAGAGTCCAATGGGAGGGTCCTATGAAGCTTTATTATGACAATAAGTCAGCTATTAATATAGCTCATAATCCTATACAACATGATAGGACAAAGCATATTGAAATTGATAGACATCTCATCAAAGAAAAACTGGAGGAAGGGATAGTATGTATGTCCTATGTTCCATCAGAGAGACAATTAGCCGATGTTCTAACAAAGTGGCTGAACAGTTCGAGTTTCCATGATCTTGTATCCAAGCTGGGAATGGAAGACATCTATTCCTCAGCTTGAGGGGAAGTGTCAAAGAATAGCTGAGTTATAATGTTGTTGAGATATTTTAGATATTCAGTTTTAGATTTAGTAGATTTATATCTAGATTTGATCTTATTCATAGATTAGATTATTTAGATTTGAGTCTATCAAGTATATTTTGTATTGCATGTATATAGGCTCCTTATTTTGATGATCTAGATACAATTTCATAATTTTCCCCCAAAATTTCTAACAATGGCATCATGTCTCCCTGAAACTGAATTCAAATATCTCAGGCTGGTCTTAAGTCACAGTATATCAAGTGCTTTTCTACATTTTTTTATGTTTCCTTAGATTGTAACTCACTTAGTTTCATGACATATATTTAGAATATCAAATTCTAAAAATAACTTTTGAACAGGAAGTACAGTAATTATTGTTCTCTATCATTGTTGCTATAGCACCTAAGAGCATGGAATTCTAATTTGGAGATCTCTCTCTGCACTGTGTATAGCTTCATAAAATCTCTTATCAGAACCTAAAACATCTATTTTTATAAGGAATCCATAACCATTGCAAGATTTATGATAAACCTAGTAACAGCTATCCATATGATCCAATAAATGACAGGAAAAATTTCCTACCCAATATGTACAAAATTGGAGGGAAGGCTTACTCATGTACGCGGTTTTGAATTGCCTCTTCACCATCTAATTTCTCATGCCATAGCATCCGTTCATTAGCATGCTCCCACAGCTCTTGTTGCTCAAAGGCCATGAATCTAAGCTGACCATCTACCTGAGAGATAAAAGATCATCATAAAGACTTTCCATCTAAATAAAACTATACAACTTTAACGCACACGACTCTCCTGAAATAAATCCCAATATAACAGTTCGACAGTATCAACTTTTTCACTAATTTAGCAAATAATACATTCTTTTTCTCTGGTCCTGGTGCTGATTTTCCTTTTGAAGATATCCTGTTAAGCATAGATGCTTCATCGATTTCAGGAGTTGGAACTGTATGAGAGGCCTTTTGTGGAGATTTTTTAACCAATTTATTCATCATGTAGCTGAGAGCATGTGGCAATTGCAGCCAAAAAAGTGCTTCCAAGGATTCACCAAAGATTGCAGCTGCAAATGCCAACCTCAGTGTTGAGCACTGGACAACTTTAGCATATAGCCTCAGTCTCTCATCATCAAGGATGCAGCCTGAGGACAGGAAAAGAAATCATTACCTTCTAACAGTACCTTCCATATTATGTTGGTTGTATATGTAAAGAAGCACACCATGTTTATGGTAAGGCTCTAACACTTTAAGAAGCATTTCTGGAACAGCAGAATCCCCAGCACGAGGTGAGTTTAGCATATAACCACGCAGGTCTCCAGCTGATGGGGTTCCTGGAATATATGACTCATTCATGGACGTATTGAATGGATCAAACCATGATGGCTTCACACCCAATTGTAAAACCATCCGCAGTGCCTGCAACAAGGAAACCCATCTAAATACGCACAATGGTGCTTAGAGCATATGATGACTAGGAATGTGCAGGGGGATCTGTGATGGGAACGGCCAGATGTTATCTAGATCATATTCAAAATGAAAGAATCTAGAAAAAGCTATATTTGTTAATCGAATTGTTAGACTATCTCCAAGATGTGAGTTGGATATGAAAAGGTTTTAAAACCATGGTACCTGATCCATTGCCAAAATTTAGGAAAGTGAATGATTACATTTTTAAATTTATCATAGGCCTATTAGGCGTCCTGTCAATTCCCAGCCCCATATTCTCTCTGCATCAGTTTTTTTTGGTGAAATTGTCATCATAAATCCTGATCCGATTCAACTAAATCTATAGAGACCAGCTCCATTGCAGTCATCCATAGTTCCTTTGACTTGAGTTTTGCATGATCACCAACAGTTTTGATCTAAATCTTTTCTGTCTATCCCTTGGATTTTCAAAAAATGGAAACAAATGAGGTCAGTTCCCACTAAAGACTTTATGATTCAGTTCAGTTTTTATATCCTCGTAAGTTAAAATCCAATCTCAATGTCGTCTTGTTATAGGACACTCAACACAAGATTAATTAGAATGCTCTGTTATGAACACATAGTATTTCAGATCAAAAGGCATATACATCTGCAAAAAATATTCCCATGTTAAAATTCTGTACATGCTTCTTTAGGAAGAATAGATTTAGTATCAGGATTTTTTTCTTTTTTTTTTTCATATAGTTTTCTCAAAGTTGAGACTCAGGACATACCAGGGCATGAGGTGTGGGGAGTAGTATAGGAGAAGGCAATGGTACAGGCCGAAATCTCTCTTTAGCAGGTCGAATTGCAGGAACAAAACCACCCAGTTTCTGCTCACCTCTGCATGACAGGAATTTGACTTTAGCTATATCACGCTATTTGAATGTGCTTTAGGCACATAATCATGTACTATGAATTTACTACATCATTAACACAAATTGTTGACGATTTCACTCATCTATCACAAATATAGACTTCTTGGGGCTTTTAATACAGATACAACTTTTAAAGGCTTACAGTTCAAAGAGAAATTCCAATCACAAATGGGTGAAATAAAGCCTACTTTCACTAATACAAAGATAGCATCTTAGCATATGCTGCAATGAACAAGTACCAGAAGCAATATATTCATTTTCCCACACAATATCTATACAAATTAGTAGGTGATCGAGCAGCCCACTTGGCCCGTGGCAATATTTTTATCATTACACCTTCAATACTGCAATCCAGATTTAAGAATAAATTTTACTTCTTAATAGACAATATAAATCATTTCATTTTATAATGATTATGATAGGAATCATGGTCAAAATGACAATCCAAGTTTAACTTACAGGAATAACCTGTCGTTAGGAAAAAGCTTCTAATAAAAAAAAAAAAGAAAAAAAAAACTATCTTCGTCTCTCAACCCTAATTTTTACTTGTACTAGGTTCATACAAAATAAGCTCCAAGGCCTAATAGTTATAGTATATTATCATTAATAGTATGATAATAAGCCCATTCCCGCCACCAACCCAAAATGAGTATTTCCATTCTTTACATGTCGTGTATAAATGATAGTCTCTTGGTCAGATGGCTGAGGTGGCTCTGTATAAAATTTTCATATTACCAAGCAATAACAGTTAATATGTCCTTTAGATTGCAAAAAAACACAAACCTAGCAGGTGGACAGGCATCTGAATCATTTTGAAACTAAATACTTCCTTGTCCATGAAAAGGGGCATACAAGCACATAATAGCAACAGTTGGGGAAAAAAATAATAGCAAACAATAAAGGAGAAAATTTACATACGCATTAAGCTCAACAAGACGGAAACTACTATCAGCTCCAGCAATGCACAGCACCATTGGATCATCCTTATTTGTCCGCACTGGCAACCAGTCAAGCTCAAGTACGAGAGTTCCGGGAAAGTGTGGTTGTAAAAGAGAATTAGCCAGCGGGTCAGGTGAATCCTACAAATCAGACACCCAAAAAATTTTAAAATAAAAAACATACCAAGTCTACTCCAACAAAAAGGAAATAAATATGTTAAACAATTCTTCTTTCATTTACAAATTAAAAATGTTCCTACATATAAGTAAGGGGATAAGATGTTGGTAATCCAGATTAGTGGCATTCACAATGGAGATGGTCCATGGGTATATAATAACTCAATATAATGTGTGTGCACGCATTTGTATGTATAGGTAGACCTTCTCTATCATCACTAATAAACTCAGATGCATGAACATTGCCATTAAGGCACTTCACAAGTTAATATATATGCACTCACAAAGGTTTCAGTTAACGTCATGTGATCTTACAAGATCAAACACAGAAAATGTGTTGTCATAAAATAAAACTGCAATACGGCCACGGCTACGGTCACCAGGAACAACAGGAGAGAACTTTATTCTCCGAATACCATCCCTGTGAGTGGTGAAGGAGGATGATTGACCAGTAGTCACATCCCACCAACGTATATTCCCTGACCTGTCTCCCATGACCTGAAATGTAAATATAATGTTACCAAAATAAACCTTTCAATAGCTTCAGAGACGTCAAAACAAATTACGGATAAAGTTTTGCCACTGCATGTGTACATACTACGTGGGGTAAGCGATAAGCCATGGCTGTAATCAGCCCATCAGAGGAAACAAAAGAAGATGATGGCCACTTTGGTCTGAAATTATTACAAGTTGCCAAGAGTTAGAACCCATTCAAGATGTTAAGAAACACTAAACACTTTTCATATTCATGTGGACATATGAAAGCACTAGAAATTGTACAAGTCATATGTAACTGGATATGAACATGAAACAAGAAACAAAACATAAATAAACCAGAAATATGAAAGGCATAATTTAATGTAAGTCCACATAATGTGATGTTTCCATACACATACTGAAGAAACAATTGTACAATGAAGAACATAATACTATATTTTCCATTTCCATGTCAAGAAAGAGTCGGGAGACTGAGAAAAGTTGAACAATACGGCAATAGTACAACTATTCAACAGTGCTACCATTTATGTGTGAACTGGAACACACATCCAAATACCCATAGTCAAGGAAGACTATGCATAATTAACAGTCTGCAACCACATATGCCTTTAATCAAAGTAAGTCAGATTAAACTTACTACCGAATAATTTATCCATGCAGGTTTCAACAGTCAAGAAACAGGACATATATAAAAGTAGTTGCATAATTTCTAGAAGGGAGAATCAATGGGTACAGAAGTCCACCAAGCATCATATGGTAAAGTAGTTGTTGGTTGTGATGTTTTGTATGGAAAATTATGTTTTTATAATAAAATAATACGATGTTGCATACCCAATAAATTGAAATATATTAAATTTTGCACAATTATGTCAATTACACTACTCATAAAGATTTTCACATAATTTATTACTATCATTACTTTCCAAACTTAAGGTCCACCAAATGATTTATTGTTCAAATGAAACATTTGCTCCTTGCTCATCCCATTAAAGTATTTGTCATTAATGGGATATAAGCAATTTTTGGCATTGGGGATTCCACAGTAATAATATTACCATATAATTATATGTTTCCTATTTCATATTATTCTCTTAAATTGTTATCTTCCGTAGGTGGATTTTGGAAAATGTTGAACATATTTTGTAGTATTAAAAGTTAAGCATGTGAGAGGTATATGTTTCTGAATAATATATATCCTAGTTCTGCCATTCAACATGGTAGAAAACAACTAAAGTTTCATCATTCAGCTGCTGTCTCCAATCAGTACCACTATTTGATGAAACCAATAGTGGTGACAAAAGCGTCTTGATTTTATTGTCATTTTTGGCATATAATCTCACTTCAACATCAAAATAAGAACGACATAGGCAGTTGTTTTGTCATGTTATGTAATATTTTAATCGATGCATTTAATGTTTTTAAATGTACAAGTATATACACATTAGGATTTTATATGTTGCACTTCATCTAGAAAAAGATCATTAATTTATTTTACATCATTTCAGTGTGTTTTGATGTGTACACACCCAATGTCACGAGCTAATTTCAATCCATCAAGTTGTGCCGTGTTCCCTTAGCAACTTGCTTCATCGGCTATTAAGGCATACTTTCCACTTAACTAAGCACCCACAAAAGTTAAGGACTTTCTTTAGAGAGAAAGTTTAGAGCAGAAGTAGTAGAAAGAAACTAACTTGGATTGCTTGAATATGTGTACAAGTGAGAGGTAGAGGCCCTTTCATAAGCCAATGATTCCATTTACAAAATTCTAGAACATCCAAGAATATACAACCTTCTAAGCTCTATGTACAACTATCTAAAAGTTCCAGAACCTTTCAAAATGTTCCGCTATATTCTTGAACAATTAAAGAATATTTCTCGGTCTAGAACATTCTCTCGAATGTAAATGAATTCTCTTATACTAGAAGGTTCAAGATATTAATAGACCACCATCTCGAGACCCTTTCTCGACTTTGTCCATGACGATTCTCCCTTACGTAAACATTGACGTCATCATCAAGCCCTTGCCGTGTAGGCCTCAATATGAGCTTCAAATTGGAACAAGTCTCGTTTGCCATGTCACCTTGTCAATTGGCAGACCTTTCCATTGAATTACGCATTCGGCCTCACATGGTGTGTCCTGATCCTTTATTCGCCTATCTGTGAAGGACTCCACAATCTTTTCCCCGAATGAGATAGTGTTGGTAGGCAAGGCATGATGTCGATTGCTAAATGCCTTTTGGTTTCTCCATTCCAACAATTTGTGCCTTTGACGAATAGCCTCGATGTTTCTTTCCAATGTCCATACCATCACTTGGTCCCCCGTTTAAAAATCCCGTGTGTAGTATTTCATGTCGGTCCACACATTTGCGGCCTTTGTCATGTCACGCTTCTCATCCAAACCTCAACAAGTATGTCCCGTGGCTGCTTGTCATGGACCTAGGTAATGCCGGGATAGACTCTCATGAGTGCTTAGGTGTCAAAGTACGGTCTACCAAACCGATCGCCTTGGGTGGTTGTCTCGCCCCGCCGGCACCCAAGACTAGTATGTATGCATGCTACAACGTCTTTCCTAACATTAGGCCATAAAAAATACCCTATGTCCCCCCCGGTGATCCCTTTTCCTTTTTAGTTTGTCTCATATAAGATGTTCTTTATATATATATTTTTTTTTGGGTAGTTTAACAATTTTAAACATACATAACAGATACTCCATCCGTCCCGGGTTAAATGACCCTTTTGCTTAGGGACACGGTATTTTAAATAGTTAGATTCGTAAATTATTAATATGTTATGACATTATTTTATTATTTTACATATGAGTAATGTTTGTTGGTATTTTAAATATTTTTAGCATTATATCTTAATAAAATATATACAATATTGATATCATTTTGAGGATTATATTATATATTACAAATAAATAAAAGAATATATTTATTTATTTATAATTAAATTAAAACTAATTTTATAAAAAATGGGGAGGTTTAAATATAGATAAAAAAATTTGTTTATTGAGGAAAGAGATAGAAATAAAAAGGTTTTAAGTGGTCCCATATGTAAGAGGTTTGAAATTTGATTAATTTGATTTATATTTGTTAAGTATGTTTAAAATGAATAATTTACTAAAAATAGAAAGCGATCATTTGTTATAGGACGAACAAAAAAAGAAAATGAGTCCTTTGTGGCGGGATGGAGGGAGTATAAATCAATTTAATTAAAGTTCAAGCCTCTTACCCATGGACCCTGTTAGATTTGATAGATTCATATCTATATCTATATTCATATCTATGTTCATATCGTTATCCTCATCCAAACATCTACTCTAATTTCCGACATGGTATCAGAGCCAATTAGACCTCTATATTTTCTAGCCGTTTGCGAAATTTTTTGTTGGGCTCTCATTTTTCCTTTTCTCTTGTTTTACTTCTAATGGCCGACTCTTTTAAATCAATTGGTGCTAGATGTCTACATTTGAGGTGTATCTATTGTCATAAGAATGGGCACACTAAAGGATGTTGCTATAGTCTTCATTGAAGCCCTTCTCATACAACAATGTTGTTGCTAATTTGAATGAATGTTCATCCCCCAACTCCATTACTATAAATCGTGCCAATTATGATGCATTCCTTCAGTTTTAGGCATCTAAGCAGTCATCCTCCATTAGTTTTGACACCTCCCCTAATGCCCAGACCTCGTTTGTTGGTATTTCTCAATCTACACTAGGCTCATGGGTACTAGATTCCGGTACAACCAATCATATGTTTGGTAACCCCTATTTGTTTTCTACTTATCATCCGTCAAACTCACTAGCACATGTCACTTTGGCTAATGGTGATAAAGCATATCCTCAGGCTATTGGCAGGGTTTGTCTATCACATAATTTATCTCTTGAGTCTGTCCTTTATGTACCACATAGTCCATTACCTCATATATATTAGTCGACTTACTAAAGATTTAGATTGTTCTATTTTATTGACCAATAGTTTCTTTGTTATTCAGGATCGCAACACAGGACGGACGATTGGTGCCGAACATGAGTCTCATGGGCTATATTACCTATAAGTCTTGTCTATCTTCTACTTTTGCAACTGCCTCTGTTAGTCTTCTGAATTGTTCCATCAACGATTAGGTCATCCCAATTTATAAAAATTAAAACTTATTTTTCCTAACTTTTCATCACTGTCTTCGTTACCATGTGAGTCATGCGAGCTTGGAAAACAATCTCGTACTACTTTTTCAAAGCGCGTCAATAGTAAAGCATTTGAACCTTTTGCATTAGTTCACTCAGATATTTAGAGTCCTTCTTGTTTTAAGTCAAGTCTAGGTTTCAATATTTTGTTACTTTTATTGATGATTTCAGTCGGTGTACTTGGGTTTATCTATTGAAAAGTAGATCTGAGTTACTACATTAAAAAACTTTTGTGCTGAAATTCGTACACAATACTACACATTCTATTATGGTCTTAAGAAGTGATAATGATAGAGAATATTGTTCCCATTCATTTAAGGTGTGTTTGTTTGGGGGTTTGGATTTTGAGTTGGGATTTGAATAGTAAAAATTTTGAATTTGAATAGTTGTATGATGTGATATAAATAGGTGTTGATTTGATGTTTTGAATGTATAATTGATTTTTAGTATAATATGAAAAATGAATAATAGGTGTTTGATTTGATGTTTTTTGGGGGGAAAAAATGAGATGAACAGTGGATTGAAAATCCAATCCTTCAAACAAACACACCCTTAATGAATTCATGTCTCAGGAGATTATTCATCAGCCCTTCCACACCACAACAAAATGAGGTGGCTGAGCGCAAGAATCGTCATTTTGTAAAAACAGCTCGTACTCTTCTTTTACATTATAATGTCCCATTTCAGTTTTGGGCTGATGTTATCCTTACAGCATGCTTTCTTATTAATCGTTTTCCATCAATTGATCATAGAAGTCCCATCACATGTCTTTAGCCTAATGTGTCATTATACCCTTTACCTCTCTGTATATTTGGTTGTACGTGCTTTGTTTATAACCATTTTCCAGTTTTGGACAAATTACATCCTCGATCATCCTCAACAAGAACAAGAAATAGATACATGCCCAATACTCCCCCTTTCTTAGGCATCAATTGCCGAAGCAACTAGGCTTCGGGCTCTTCTTCATCATCACTGGTGAAGTATAGGGAATTAAGTAGTGGAGATGGGGCAAACGGTAATATATTCATGGCATGGGCCACAATTCTCTTCTCAACAATTATTGCGGCCGTAAGATCATTCAACTTTTGGATATTCATAGTAAGAAGTTCCTTAATCCATTTCATTAATGCAGCTTCGTCTATTGGCTCATCCAAAGTGAAATCATTATGAAGTCTTTTGAGATTTGATTGGGCAACTGACTTTCTTGGAAGCACCTCCTACCGTTAAAATCCAAAACAATTCGAATTAAAAAACTTAATGAATCTCAGGACATGTAATTCCATTTGAATCTCATTCTTTATATTTTGTTTTGAACTAAAAATGGATTATGGTATTTTGATTTGCTGTTGTTGCTTTACATTTTTCAGATTATTGGGTATCATATGCCAAAGAGGGAGAATGTTAACAAAAGAGTTTTTAACTTTTAGCCATTTACTCATCTTCCTAGTTTTTTTTTTAAGCTCTCCACCATGGAGAACATTTTGAAGGTTAAGGAATTTAATAGAGGCACTTTCTCAATGAACGAGATTATTTTCAATCTCATCTTTTGAGGGGATTGATATAGAGGTAAACTCCCATCTTTAGACACACAACATGCTTCCTTAGCAAACAACTTGCAAGAATTGTCTCATGCTTGCCCATCCATTCCATTGAGAACTCCTACAGTTTTGGATTGCTTAAGAGCTGGGTTGCTGGAAGATTAACACAGATTGTTCAGCCTTTGGTAAGCCCAATGCTGACATTTCTATTCACTCAGGTATTATTATCTTTCATTATATCCAAAACTATTCAAACTGCCTATTCCAATGACACATAAATCTTGGCCATTGTCATAAAGACCAGTCAAGACCCACTCCCAAACTTGTGCTAGAATGCGTTTCCAAATGTCTTAGGATGAAATCAAGGTACATCAGCTCCATGGAAACTTAAGTTCAATATTAACAAGTTGCATTAGTCCATCTTCAGATACCCTCTCATCATCTTCCAACATGTGGCTAGAAGAGCAAACTATTTGGCAGACTACTCTACAAAACATGGTGCTCAAGGTTTCATAGATTTTACCACTTCGCCACTCTAGTTTAGTCATCTCCAGTTGCAAGATTGACCATTAATATTTATTTTCTTAGATCTTTGTCCAATGTGATCAATTTACGTCAAGAAGAATAATTATCTTTACTTATCAAGAAAATGCAAAACAAGTGGAATCACTGAGCTTTTGGCAATTTCCTCATCTCTGTTGTCTTATAAGTTCTGATTTCAGTTTACACTGAAAATATTTAGCACTTACTAGAAAGGATGTTAGATTCAAATCCACAAGTTTTTTTGAGTGGATGCACAATTGCATTACAGTAATAAGCTGTTTATAAATTTTAGAATCAATGTTCATGGCCCAACAATACCCTATCTCCTTTCAGAAAGATTCGTTGGGGTAATGATTAATGAAACACAAACCCTCTTGAAAATGTCTCCTAGCCTTATTAAGACCATACTAAAATTTTAAAATGCTGAAATTTGAATTTGATTAGGGATATTCTTCGTTTTTAGTAGGTTTGACTCACAAATGAATCCATAACATAAATGTAAAGTTAATAACAGTGTCAAGACTAATCTAACCAAATCATAAAGATGCACTTGATCTCATAGATAGGAACTTATTTCACCACATAGCAAATCCTGCAATATAAGCTTGTTTTGGTTTCCAACAAAACAGTCTGATATTTTGATTTTTCCACCTTGGATGATATATTTATCCATAAGAGATACCACCAAATCACAAACCTTCAACTAAAGATACTCCAATAAGTAAAACTAATTATTAAGATAGCAAGCAGTTGTCCAAGAAATTACACAGGATCCTAACTTGTTCAAAGATAGTTAGCACTAACTAGAAAGATGCATCTTGAAAAGCTGAGTTGGCAATCAAATTTAGAGAGAAAAGTAATACCTAAAGTCCCGGATTCTTCTTCCTTGCACCTCAAAAACTCCAAGGGCGCCATTAACCAGGGCAAATGCAAAGCTTTCTGAAAACTCTTCATTGGATCCATCTGATCCCTCTTCTGTGTTTCATCAACAATAGCATGTAAATACCACAACATATTTTAGAATCAGATCTATGTGGAAAGCTCTGAAAGAACATATAGAATAGCTTGTGCAGAAATTTCTCACTGCCATCTGTCGAAGATGCTGCAGTAGGGGAAGCAGCCTCTGTTGAGGGACTGGCAGAATCTTTGGACAAAAATGACGAGGTCCTAGAAGGTTTATTTTGTGCTGGTCGCGGAACTGTAGGGAGTGTCCATTCAAGAACAGTAAAAGGAAGAGCTAATGACCTCAGCTGCATGACAAAATTATATTTTCAACTTTGTGCAGAGCATAAGAAAGAAAAGCTAATATTTTATTCTACACAATAGATAGCATAGATACACTTTGACTCAATAAAATGTGTATATGGTGATGAGACAAACAGTTCAGAACTCGGCAATATTTTACTCATTTCTGCTTTTGCAAAAAGTAGTAATGTTCAATTGCCATTAAGTCAAAAGAAGAGAAGATTCAGTATATAATCTGATCGCCTAATACAAAATTGAAGTTTTAATAGTCATAGTTCAAGTGTGTAAATATGTATTATATATTCTCAATGATGTGTAAATGCTAAGAATTAACATAAATAAATACACATACAAATTAACGGTTGGTAAATCACTCAGACGAATAAATATGGCATCTTAGGTCAGCAGCGAGTAGAGATGCGTGAGCTGGCAGCAACTGTGGGTGACGATGTAGGTGGACAAGGAACGATTCCGGTGTTGGTTGGGTTAGAAAACATCTGAACAAGCACCGGAGAAATTTAGGGTTTTTGGGTAGCGGCAGCAGCAGCAGCGTAGTGGCTTAAATCCAAATAACGGATGGCTCTAATACATGTAAATATGTATTCTATGTTCTCAGTAATGTGTATTTGCTATGAATTAACACAAATAAATATACATGCAAAGTAACCTAAACGGGCCTAATCTAATCAAAATAATAAAGTCTAATCTAACAAAGTGTAATCCTTCAAATGAACTAAGTAACAGTGCTAAGTAAAAGCGGATGGGTAAGTAGACGCACTTCAATTTTAAAAGAATGCCCAATTAATAAACCAAAATAATCATGGTACCATGAAATAAGAAGAAGAATTAAGAAAACTAACCATGATTGGGGTCTTTGTCATTGCCCACACCTCTACAGGTGCATCCCGGAACAATATCAAAAGATATCTGAAAGGATTTCCAGTAATGTCATTGTAGGATCTACTAAAAACTGCTAAGGCATGTAACAAGTAAAAATAAATAAACAAAAAATTTAAAAAAGCAAGCTTCTGATGTGAACTAACAAGATATAATTAAATCCCATGATACCCGACATAATTAAGAGCACATGCTAAATTTGCTCTACGTATAGCAAGGGCAGTGGTATCCAGTAATACAATAGAGCTATATTCTCCTTCAACACTATATTACACACTTTACACCATCCCAACATGTTTTGAACCATAGTCACACAAATATGTACTCAAAATGCTATTGAAATGTAGTGAAATGGTTTTGGTTTTTTCTTATCTTGATGAAAATGAGTTTAATGTTTTAATGAATATTAGATAGAAAGAAAACATAATGCAACGAAAAAATGGTAAACATACAAAATTGTTTTCATCATTGACTATGTAATAATATATTTTGAGTTGTGCGTATACTCTTTTTTAGCTTGATTATAAAATATAATATAAGCATTCAAATATGTATGTTCACTTTGCATTTTTTAATTTTTTTCATTTCTTTGCTGTTCAATCTCTCTATTTTCCTTCTAAAACATTGTATCTAACAACTAATTTTAATACAAAACTTACATCCAACAACTTTTTCACCTCAAAACTACTAAAACAAAAACACAAAAAATAAAATTAAGATAAAAAAATGATAACCAAAACACAAGTGAACAAACCCCTGCATACCATAAAATCACACTAAACCTTAAATACAAAATCACACAAACAAGCATGTGGAATTGTGTTTGTAAAATGCCATTTGCTTTTCCTGAGTTGAATTGTAATATATATAGGTGAAAATACTTCATATTTGGTTGAATTGTTTCCATATTTTTAATTTTTAAATTAACAAAATGTATACTATCTAGATGATATAATTTTTTTTGATAGCTAAAAACTTATAACTTTCCATATTCCAAAGTAAAGGAACGCAAACTTTAACATTAGTTCATCTTCCTGTTAACAAGCTTGTTCAGAAGTGCAGCACGAGACAGGTAGCATGAAGCCAGAAGACACAAGCACCATGCTGTTTGCATCTGATACCTTGCTCTATGTTTCAGAAACATAAACTCCCCTCATTATTTCAGATGGGTTCACCAGTAAGAAGCAAAAAATCAAAAATTAACCCTCAATCTTAAAGAATTCAATGGCATTGCAGACCAAACAAACTAGTAAGATATACAGCTAACTGAATTACACTAAGTGGGCTGAATATATCAATTTATGCTTCATCTAGATGATAATAGTTATACATTAGCATGTATCGCCGCTAGACTAGCGTCACGCACCACAGTGCACACAACTTTAGAATATAGTAACTTTAACCCATAAAAGAAACATGTCAAACTGAAACTAGGAAATTAAAATCACTGAAATATATTATTACTATCCTTTTAACTGTCAAGCATCTCATAGTCCCAAAAACAATTTGAGTTTGCAAAAAGAGATTAAAAGTGATGTAGGGCAGCCAAAACCATCCACGGAGTAAGAGTATGAAATAGCGCCGTCAACCAAATAAGAGTCTGATATAGGAGTCGCTAACAATGGAGTTACAGTCAAAAACGGGATTCCCTCACAATGAAGTTAGAGTGGCAAACAAAATTCGCTCAAAAAAAATTTAAAGGCTGTGTTTACTTGTGGAATTTTTGTTTTGATTTTACTATTCTAAAAACGTTTCTCTCCAAAAACATCAAATCAAACACTTATTTTTCATTTATTATATTATACTAAAATTTAATTTTACATTCAAAATATCACATCAATACATATTTATATCACATCAAACAACTATTTCAATTAAAATTTTACTATTCAAAATCAAAATCCAAAATCAAAACCCCACAAATAAACACACCCAAAGTCGAAAACAAGACTTACTCACAACAAAGTTAGTAAATAATTGTACTCTCAACGCACAAGAAAGCTCTGAACTGAATGAAATCTGGACAAGCGATCCAAACCGAACATAAACTTTATTGAAAACTGAAAAACAAATTTGACAAAAAAAAAATTTGGTAGACGGGCAACTGCAAACATCTCAAAACCGAGGGAACTCTGGGTAAATAACATGTTGAGCGTACCAGGAGAAACATGGATCGATACCATGTTATATTTATTCATAATGAAATCAGAGTCCTGTTAATACTCGATAAACTCAAATAATAACAGCATAATCTAAGGATATAACCAAATAATAACATTCTAATCTAGATAACATAAATCCAATCTAAACCATAAACTAAATATTTGAAGGGTGTGTTTGTTTGGGGGATTTAATTAGATTTCTACTATTCATCTAATTTTTTTTCCCCAAAAACATCAAATCAAACACATATTTTTCATTTTTTATATTATACTAAAAATCAATTTTACATTCAAAACATCACATCAACACCTATTTATATCACATCATACAACTATTCAAATTCAAAATTTTTACTATTCAAATCCCAACTCAAAATCCAAACCCCCAAACAAACACGCCCAAAATATATCAAAAATATCTTGGAACAAAATTCACTCTTCAAAATATGGAAGAAAAACTAGCAATATCAAATCAAGAATCATCCCTAGAAATAGCAAGCAAACAAATGAAATTAGAAACTACAAATTACAAAGACAGATGGAACAATTCTAGAATATGAAGAACGGCTGACAATGCTGATATCTTCTAGCCTAAGAATCACTGTTAGATTTGGCAAAACAAATTTCATTTGAAGCGTCAAAAACCTAAGCTGAGCAGTTGGAAGACAACAATATTTTTATTAGAATGATGCCTTCTGATCAGTAATAAATGCATTATAAATCTGGTAAATATTTATTCCAATACAAAAATTTCTCAGCTAGACTACCAAATCTCCATATCTCTCCGTATAACAGCCACCACCAATTTGAAAAGGAAATGAAAGTTAAAAACATAAAATGCATGGTGAAGCAAGTTCTGAGATTTAACAGTGGTTTTGGTGCAATTTTGCAAAAAATGGGTTCCTTAAGATTTGGATTTGGGTTGGGAGTTTGAGAGTAGTAAAAATTTGATCGAAATAGTATTGATGTGATATATAGAGGTGATTGGTGTGATGTTTTCGATGAAGAATTGGTTTTTCGTGTAATATATGAAAATCAAAATAGGTGTTTGATTTGATGGTTCTGGGAATAAAGAAGTGACGAATAGTTCGAGACCAAATCCATACCTTAAAGAAACACACCATCTTTTGGGTACTCTTGATTTGAATTTTTCATCAAGCAGGCAAATAGGATAGATCATAAATGGAATTTTCAGTAACATGTGAAATTTAGCACAAAAGTACATTGACCAGCCGTGTATTAGTAACATATCTTTTTTTTCTCACCTTACCGCAAGATCCTTGTTTATGACCCAAAACCAAGCTGGCATAGTACATATAATGAGTGTGATGTGTGATTTAAATGCCTACACTTAATATAAAATACCCTAATCACTAAACAGATAATATTTGAACAATTGGAATGGGCTGAGTTAACTTATTTAGAAGGATACAGAAATTGTACTTTTATGAAGGTTCTCATTGGTTTCCATGGGAAAATATAAGAATGAGAAAACAGCAAAATATATATATATACACACATATATGTATATATAAAAAAGCATCAAACCTTCCAGAAGAAGAAGCTCGTAATGCTCTTATTGGTGCTCGCTCTGGTTTTTGAAGCACTCGAAATGTTCGATTCAGGCCACTTCGTAGGCAGGTTACAACAAGCCTATTAACATATCCTCCTTCTTTCTCAGTTCCCTGCCCACAAAAGCAACTACGGTATGTGAAGCTGCAGCTCCCAGTTGACAATAGAAGGTAAGACAACACATCACAAGTAGCATCTCTAATTAATCAAAAGTAACAATAGTTGCTATTTTCGAGAACCCACTAGAAGCTTGTGTACAGAAAATCAACAATTGTTTGCAATAAATTTAGATGCTTCAAAGAGACAAGTCTGACCTGAGAATAAGAAAATGACACAACTCGAGAATTTCCTAGCCATCGTAATCCCCTGACAACGTTGCTGTGAACAGAATAACTTGCAGCAACGGCATTGGCAGAGATGTCAATAATATCTATTGTGCCACTTTGTGATCCTAAAGCAACTAGAGGAACGGCTACAGCAGGAGTGTTCCCACCACCTTCACCAATTGCATGAACAATTAAATAATGTACAGACCAAAATAAATTAAGAATTATAGGGAAAGAAATGGATAAATACACACGCGCTGAAGTAGCAGTCAATGAAGGGGATGGAACAGCCAATATAGTCACAGCTGATGACAGGAGCTGAAGTTGTCCCACCAGATTTATCTGCACATTGTTACAACACCTTTTAACATGCATAAGCTTGCAAGGCCAGTAGCAAGCCAATACTAGAATAACATTTTAAATCCAAGGGATCGTAAAGGGATTTATAGACAAGTAACCTCACCAACAAATAGAAATATATAATCTACTAAGAGAACATGAGAATGAAACTATCAAATTGATTTTCAGGCTTCAGCTGCGTTTTAACTTATTTTAAACCCTTTTCAACCCAGAGATATGACATAGCAGAAAAGGATAACTACTACTTATGTCCTAGATCACAAGTGTAACCAAGACTGAAATGAATAAAAATTTATTTTCAAAATCAGGGCTCCCACCAGGAAATCATTCAATTTGATAGAACAGCCAACACTGTAGGGGCACAATTGAGAAGTATGACAAACTCAATGATTGCTCAAAACCATCAATCACATTTACAGGTAGCAAGGGGACAACCAGAAACCAGTATTTCAATGGGGAAAATAAGACCTACGAACTACGTACCTTAAAGGAAAGATCATTTGCAGCAGAAATGGGACCTGATTGACTACTCCCTCTGCCTTTTGCATCTTGAAGTGTGACTCCACTCATTTCAAGTTTGTCAGCAAATAATTGTTCTGGAGAGGATTTGTTTTCAGAGATTGAAAGTTGATGGATTTCAGAAAGCTTCCTCACATTATCTTTATTATCATTCTGAGCATTGCCAGGCCCTTCAGCAGTCAAAATCCATTTCCACACTTTTCCATCATCCAAAATGGACATTAAATGTGTTTTTGAAATGATATGGGACTTGTCAAAAGAATCATAAGGATTATCGAAACCAGTTTCATATGAATCCACATCAGGACAACGCATGCGAATCCCTTGAAGTGTGTAATCTGATTGGGAGATAGTGACAGCAAGAACTAATGGAGAAGGAATAGTTGTGCCAATTGAGGGCATTAATTCATCCGTTGAACACATAGCATACTCCTGTCCTCCCCTGTTATGATGAAAATGAAATCTTTATATGCCTCCGGCTAACAGAAAGATATTTCAAGCTCCAACTATGGAATGAGATGTCGTAAAAAAAAAATGGTGTTCTTCATAGCTCTTTGTCACCGTCGCAAAATGTGATGAAAAGTGAAAGAAACTACTATCAGCAATATCAATAGAAGTAGGAAAATAGTTCTAAATATAATAATCAAAATTACTGTCTCCACCATGGGCCCGAAACAGAATTACTACCATTAACAAGAGCAAATTGATGAAGGAAACTGTTGAACTAGTTTGTTTAAGCTACTTTGAAATAGTTGAAAACATTTTCTGCAAACTAAACGGAAACGAACTTCACAGCTAATGACCTACATAGAATAAATATCATAGCACATATTACCAACAAAATGAAAACAAGATTCAAAGTCATGCTGACATAAAACACTCACGGTTTCCGGCTCCAAGTACTGAGCTTCCCATCCATATGAGCGCAATAATAAACCTCCATATTGACGTCAGCCAATATATCTACAAACTTACTGCAGCCCCTCGGCAACCCTGAAGAATATAACACTGATTCATACTGCAAGTCAAACAGCACCAGCTCTCTCGGAAACGCCACTAATAGAACATGCTTCCAGTGTGGTGAGAAAGCAAACTTCACCACATAATTTGGGAAAGCCGCAGAGGCTGGTGCTCCATTGTTACCACCAGAAGAATCCCTCTCCAATCTGTTCAACTCAGCAGCTTCAGTACGAATCTGATATTCCTTCAACGCAACATCGTTTTCAGAGTCATCCCCCAATAGCTTCAACGACAGCAGGAATCCTTTGAGTCCTAGGGCACAAAAATGGCGGAAATCGAAGGGATCTCGGCGGAGGCACGATAGGTACTCCGGCGAAGAGTCATACTTGAAGAAGCAGCGGCCAGTGGTAGTGTTGTAAATGGAGAGCAAGGAGGGCCCTGAAACGGCAGCGAGTGACCAGGAGTCAGATCGGGTCCTGATCCAGCAGAGATCCTGGATACCTAATTTGGCCGAATTTGGGTAATTGGTCTCGAAGAAGAGAATTGGGGATTTGGAGCGGAAATCAAGCAAGGAAAGGCGGCCGTGGCGATCACCGACGGAGAGCATGAGGTGCGGGGATGAGTTGTCGGTGTCGAGAAGGTGGTGCGGAAGAGGCAGTGGAGACCAGCGCACGGCGGTGATGAAAGGCGAGGCTGCGGCGGAAGGGGGAGGAGGCAGAGGGATTGTGGAAACGAGTTGCATGGAGTGGGTATCGATGACGGCGACGGAGCTGCCAGCACCGTAGGCGAGAAGACCAGCTGAAGAGAGCTCGGCGGATCCGCCGTTGTTCTTGGAAGGCGGGCCCGGTAACATGCAGTCCCAGGCGGCCGAGGGTGGCCGCGGCACCGACATAGCAGTTTACTCAATCCAATCAGTCCTGCTGCTTATCAACGAAAGAATGACCGGAGAAGAAGAGAGATCTGAATTCCACCATGCAACACGGCGGCGGCAAGGCACGGCACGGCAAGGCAGGTGGACAGACAGACAGACACAGACAGGCAGGCATCCTTTAAAAATGGGAAGAAAAAGGTCGTAAGGGTTATTGAAATTGCAATTGGGATTTGGAACAATTATTAATTGCTTCACTTCAATTTGCTTTCATTTTTTTTAAAGGAAAAAAAATAAATATTATTTTCAATATAACTAGAATGTATTAATTTTAATATAAAAATAATTTATTAATTTTAATTTTATTATAAATAATTTTAATTAAAATATTATTGTTCAAAAATTAATATAAATTGTTGATATGTACGTAACCATATTGATGGGGCAACCGATTTAAATACAACATCGTGTTTACAATTATATATCTTCATCTTTTTAACATGGTCATGTACTGCTATTTTGATTGAAAAATTCTTTTTTTTTTTTTTTCTAAATTATATATATTGAATTAAAAATAGTTGATTTAGGTAAAAATTAAATTATAATAATGTGAAAATTTTCAATTTCAAAATATTGAAATCCAATATATTGAATTTTTAAATCAAAATAGAAAAAAATGCAGTCATGTCCACTTATATAAACGGTCGTATTTGAAGTTCAGTTCGGATGTAACACAGCCACGTACACTGACATACGGTGGTATTATAAAACCATCACGGTATATGGGCGTAAGTATGTACACAGACATGTACAATTAAATATGTTCGTGAGACCTCGTAGATAACATTTCAATATATATTTCAATCACGGTCGAACTAGACTTTACTATTCTCAAATTTATATAGTAATTTAATTTTTAACTATATCAGCTATTATAAATTAAATATACATAATCTTTAAATAAATATATATATATAACAAAAAAAATGAATGTTTAGATCAAAACATAAATAACCACGCCCGTGTATAATTAAACACGACCGTATGACAATATGAGCGTGTATAATTATACATGGTTGTGTGACAATATGGGTGTTTATAGTTGTACATGGTTGTGTTGTGTCCAAGTCAATTGTCCCCCAATCTCGTTACATGCACGTCAGTAATTTTCGTTAGTTTTTTATATTATAATCAAAATTAATAAATTTTAACTATATTGAGATTACTATTGATTATTTTCTTTCTGCAGACTTTTTTTTTTTTTCAAATATATATGGTTGTGTTGAGTACATATTTTCATTATTTTGTTAAGGCTTAAATTACATAATATCTCTTTTATTTTAGTATAAATATACAAAATTAAGTAAAATTATATGTCATCCGTTTGACTCTAATGGTCTTATTCACTTTTTGCGTCATTGTACTTAATATTAAAAATATCCTTATATTTGTATAATTTTTTTGCACAAATATCATTATAATAGTATTATAAGGGGTAAATTGCAATAAATATCCTGCACCTATACCCGATTATCACTTTTGTCCTCAATATATCACCCTGGCAAAATATATCCTGCACTTTTACAAAAAAAACTTATCATTTACGTCCTCCCGTCGCGCGTCATTGTCACGTGGCAGTTGAACCACGCGCTCTCGTGTACGAAATCCACGTGGCATTGTTTGATTGGGTGATTATATTAAGATATTAAAGTATATATATTTATATATTAAATTTGCAATTTGATTCCCGTGCGAAATTGCAATTTAATTAAATTGCAATTTCACACAGGATCAAATCGCAAACTCACCACAAAACCCCTAACTCATTAATGGTGGACTTCAGAATATCGATCACATTCAGGTGGAGGAAGTTCATCCAAAATCGATTGCATTCATCTGGGAAGTTTATCTCGCTCGCCAATCTTCCAAAAAAGGTCTGAATTCGAGACATTTGTTGTCGGAGGAACAAACGTAGCTTCATTCCTGTGTTTTTTTTGTTCTTGATGATATGAGTAACGCCGAGGATAAGAGCAAAGGCAGGATTGAGGGAAAAAGAATCGACTTTGGGGCACATCCTTTATATGGTAAGTATTTTCGTTTTAATTTCATATAATATTCTTCTTGTGGGGTACTGTTGTCGGAAAACTCCAAATGTTTCGATTCAAACCATGGTCCTAACATTAGAAATATTTTATTGTTCTATTTTGGTCCCACATTCCTTGATTCCGTCAATTTGATACAAATTTGGTCCCCCTATCCATTGTCATATGAAAGTTTCATACTGATTTTTGTGTTATGCAGAACCCAAAAGCACACATTTGACAGTGTGCTTACATTTCGATGAAGTCTTGTACCACACTCCAATAGCAAAGTACATTGGGGGATCCATCAAGAATTTTGATTCCGTGCTAGCGGGAACACTTACTAAGGACTTGACGGAGTTGTTTGGAAGAAATATTGGGATTAACGTTTCGGAGTATAGTAAGTATTACACTCTAATTGGTAACAATTTAAAGCTATTAGAGAGTGGTGAGGAGTTCCGAGATGCAACTTATGAATCTTTAATTAGTAGAAAATTAGATACTTATGTAGATCTTGAAGGTAATGTGATTGGTCTGGATGATGATGAAGATGGTGAGGATAGTGACTTTATAATGGGTAGTGGAAGTCACGGTAGTGATGATGACATATTTGAGGAGTTTGTGGACATGGGCTATGATGATCTTGGGGATGAATTTGTTCGTGGAGTTGGGGAGACAGTGTTGGGAGAGGGCGAGTTTGGCAATTTGGGAGGGATGACTATTGAGGGTGAAGGAGATGAATTCCCCGGTTTAGATGATAATGGGTAGGATAGTGACTTTACAGTGGGCAGTGGAAGTCACGGTAGTGATGATGACTTATTTGAGGAGTATATAGATATGGATTGTGATGATGAGGGTGAAGGAGATGAATTTCCAGGTATAGATGATTACGATATAGGCCAAGATATGGCTAATGAAGTAGTTGTTGAAGAGGTACTGGATTGTGGTGTTAGTGTATGAGGGAGCGGGTAGCAAAACACTTGTGAATTTGACGTTGGGAATGAAGGATTAGGGGCTGAGAATGATGAAGAGGATACACCGGAGGAGAATTTGGTAGTTGGACATAATGAGGAGTGAAAGGAGTTACTTGACTCAGAGGATGAGGGGCGCAGGCGGGGCGTGAGGCATGACTTTTCCAAAGTTCAATCCACTCAATGTGTACACACCGAGGTTTGATATAGGGATGATATTTGCAACAAGGGACGAGGTTAAGAGAGCAATACAATCTCATGCAACTTCAGAAAGAAGAAGTGTGGCTTTTACAAAGATTGACAAGCGCCGGTTGTATGCGAGGTGCAAAGAACCAAATTGTGAGTGGAAAATCAACGCAGTGAAGGTGAAGAATGACACTGCTTTCCAAGTAAGTCTATTGCATCCTAAGCATTCGCAGTCATGTCTTCCTTCTTTTAATGTTGCGAATGTTAAGACTTCTTGGTTAAGTGAAAAGTTTGCTCATAAATTTAAATGTGATCCGAAACGCGAGGTACGAGGTTTCAGGAAGGAGATAATGAGAGAGCTAAACGTGAGTGTGTCAAAAGATCAGACCTATAGGGCAAAGAGGCGTGCTTTGGAACAGATAAGTGGAGATCCTATTTACCAATACAGTCTTTGGGATTACACATATGAGTTAAGAAAGAATAATCCAGGGACCACAGTTGTGTTAGGTGTTGAGATTAATGATGCAGAATCTGTTTTTGACCGTATTTATGTGTGTTATGGAGCTTTAAAAGAAGGATTTAGTGTTGGTTGCAGACCCATAATTGGTGTGGATGGATGCCACTTGAAAGGTATTTACACTGGTGTATTACTTACCGCCGTTGGAATTGATCCGAATAATAACCTGTTCCCAATTGCCTTTTCAGTGGTTAGTAGAGAGAATGGTGAAACATGGAGATGGTTCTTGATTTTGTTGAAGAAAGATTTAAGGATCGGGGGTGACAAACAAGTTACATTCATGTCTGATAAGCAAAAAGGGCTGATACAAGCCTTCGATGTTGTATTCCCAGAATGTGATCACAGATTTTGTGTTAGATACATGCATAACAACTTTGTTAATGCCGGGTTTAGAAGAACTGCACTGAAAAATATAGTTTGGCATGTTGTTTTGGCTTCTACGCTGGGGGAATTTCGTCGTCGAATGGATGAGTTGAAAGATCTTGACAGTGAGGCACACAAATGGTTCGATGATAAGCCCGTAGCGCAGTGGAGTCGGAGTCACTTCAAAGTTTATCCAAAGTGTGACATGTTGTTAAACAATGTGTGTGAAAGCTTTAATAGTGCGATCCTAGATGCACGAGAGCAACTGATTTTGTTGATGTTGGAGTCAATAAGACAATATCTCATGAAAAAGTTGCAAGCGAACAGAGATATGGCTACGTGTAAATGGAAAAACTTGCGGTTCTGTCCAAAGGCATTGAAGCTGCTGGAGAGAAATGTTCGGAGGGTATCTAACTGCATTCCTATTAAGTCTGATAATACGCATTATGAGATTTCTTGCTTCGATGGGAGCCAATATACTATTAATCTTCGGGAAAAAACTTGCACATGCAAACAATGGCAGCTAAATGGAATTCCTTGCAAACATGTCATCTCTGCTATCTCTAACCAACGAGAAGAAATTCAAGACTACATCGATGAGTATTACTCCGTGGAGACATACATTAAGGTATATGCTCCTGCCATAATGGCTGTCACCAGTGACATGTTTTGGGAGGTAATAGGTTTTAATCCACCTAAACCCCCAACAGAAATACGATCGGTTGGGAGACCTACCTCATCGAGGCGAAGGAAATGGGATGAACCTGTGAGAAAAATAAGAAAGAAGGCTGGAATTTTAATGTTAAAGAAAAATCAAATGGCTGTTCATTGCAGAGGATGTGGAAACTCTGGACACAATGTTAGAAAATGTCCACCAGTCAGTTGAAAACCGTCGGGTTGAGGAATCATCACCACCGGTGTAAACTATAGCAGTGTGTAGTTATTGTATTATATTTGTGATATAAAATCATGCATTGACTCTTCTTTGTACATATAGGTGGCTGGACAAGACCCCACGACAACATCCGTAGAACATAGGCCACAACGGATTTCTGTAAGTACAAGCTAACACAATACATAATATATATCATTTCTCTCACGAAGTAAGTTAAATTTAAATAAAAATAAACCTACTTCTGCAATAAAAATAACGTAGTATAGATAAAGTAGGGTCGTCTTCTCATGGAATTAAAAAGGTTTTATTTTTGATTGTTTGATTTATAAATATAATAAAAGGGGTGGATTTTGGAAGAAGGAAATAAAACTAAAATAACAAACTAAAAACTCTACTACTAAAAGATAAATTCAATAAAAATAAGTTTTCAGTCTAGGAATGAAATTGACAACTTGGGTACCGGATTTGGTCATCGATAATATTTAATTTTATTGGTTTCTAAATAAATTAGTTATAGTTACCGACATGCGTCTAATAACCAACTCTTACTTAATTTATTGACAGTCTAGGTACGCCCGTCAACTGTTTCCCTAGTCTAACTGTCTTGCGAACTAGAAGAGCCTAATTCCATTTAATAATTAACTATGCAAAATTGTTTAAAATTGATTCCGTGATTTCCTAATGGTGTCTGCCACTAGTTGCTACTTGAACCAAATTAAAATGCAATTACGGACTCCTAATTTAATTTAGCAATTAATCCTTAATCCAATTGAAATATCTAGCCACAATACCCAACCAAATAAAATATTATAACTCAAAGAAATCAAAAACCACAGAAATACTTAGGAACCAAAGAAATATAATAAATCAAAACAAGTCCAATCTCCTAAATCCATACAAAGTTGTTTTCCACTCCTCGACTAGAAAAGTAAACTACTCGCTAATCATAGGAGGAAGAACAAAGAATAAGAAAGCAAAGAGAATCATAATGATATTGGTAGAGGTAGAACTTGAAATCTTCTTGGCAGAATCTTTCTCCTTCTTGCCCTTGCACGGTTTCTCTATGGGACTCTTCTGCATAGTGTTCTCATCGATAAGTGGCATAAAGTGGCGTATCCCCATTCTTTCTTTCCTTTATATTTGCCCTAATTTTGTAACAATTGGGCCTTGGACCTTTTTGTTCTCTTTTTCCACTAATTATATCAATTTTTTTATTTTTCTCCTACAAATTATAAATAAATAATATATGCCAAATCGGTAGAATCTAATTAAAATTAACCAAATATCGCAAATAATACAAATATTTAACGCATGCGATTTATGGCTATTAAATCTCCCCACACCTAGATTATGCTTGCCCTCAAGCATAAATTCAAAACAAGCCAAAAGAAATCGCAGACAACTCAATATGACAAGACAATCCAACTCAACCAAATCAATCGAAAATTCAACATATCAAGCCAAGTCAACCTTAGAGGATAAAGTGTATGCGCACATGCTCTCTGAAAGAAATTAGTGTATATAATCAGCTAATGCTCAAGTAGTGTGACACAAGATTATCCCATAGGCTTGAATGAAAATCAAATCTCCTTTGCTTAAGATACTCGAATTTAACATCAAGAATCAAATGGACTTTTTTATAAAGGTTGTAATGGGGATGATGGTTAGGGGTAGGAAAAATGATATGCGGAGGCTAAAATATGTTTAAAAAAAAAATATAATAAGAATACGATGCTAGCATGTGAAAAACAGTTCAGCATAAACAATGAAACCCTTACTTTATTCACTACCCAAACCTTAATAACATAATTATATCAATAATACTTTATCAAGATTTATTTTATTTTTATTGTTTTGGGGCCTTTTTTGGTTTTTTTTTTGGCCTTTTTTCTAAATATATATGTAAATCCGCCTTAACAACAGAAAAAAGATTCTATCACAAGAGAAATGGGGATCATGTCAATCACTGTCAAATCAAATGGAGAATACGTCTTTCACTACCCATTCTCATTGAAGCAAACACTTCTGAATGATTTATTTATTTATACTCAAACTTCGTTTCTAACTAGTTCCGAACAAATAAGGTGCATCACAACGTGAACTTAAGGTAATTCTTTCTAATATAGGGTTCAAATCGGAGAAGGCTTAATATCAAAGAAGGGTGTGAGGCTAAAAGAAGGTTTAATATAGAAGAAAAATAGGCTAAAAAGTCTCAAATGGACTAACTAGGGGAAATATATTGTGCTGGGTGATAAAGAAAGGCTCAATGGGTTACCTAATGCCCTTATCATTTTCAAAATGCAAGACTCGATAGTTGCAAGTTCAACATGCATAATCACTCAAGTTCTAGGTCATCTAATTGAGCACTACAAATCATACAAGAAAGAATTTCCAAAAGCTTGATAATATGTAGTTTACTTTCTAATGTAAGCTTTTTGGAATATATACTCGAATTCTCACAGGGTTCAAATATCAACCTGGTTCAACATATTTCAAATCCAATGTCATGAATCATGTCAGACTAACCTAGCACTCAAACCACCTTTGACTCACTTCAGACAAATCTCAAAAACATGCGAAAGGACAGCAAATCAGACATCATAAGTAGCACAAAATGAAATTTTGCCCAAAAAATTTGCATTACTCTCTCCCCATACCTAAAGCAAACATTGTCCTCAATGTAAAAAAAAAGTAAAATAAGAGAGGAACTTCCCTGGAGTCCGTAGGATTGGAGCAACTGCATGTTTTTGCTTTGGATTCCAAATTTCTTCAAGTTGATTGTGCGTCTGTTTTAGCCAACACCAAAATTGATAGCTCAGGGAGGAAGAAAAAGAAAGACGACGGTTTTTTTTTTTTTCAAAATTCTCCAAGAAGTTCCCTAGAAAAAATAAAGAATCCAACTCAAATAGGTGATGTTTAAAAATAACATAAAATAAAATAAAATAAAAACTAAAGAAAAGAAAATAAATAAAGCTAGAAAACTTGGGTTGCTTCCCAAGAAGCGCCTTTCTTTAACGTCTTTGGCTACGCAGTTACCATATTAGTCATTAGGTGACACTACCTTGGATCGTCTTACCCACTTCAGTTTTTGTCTTTTACCTCAACGTTTAAAATGATGATTACTCACAAAAAACTTTCTCTGCAAGATTCACATCATCATTATTTAATTGAGCATGCTCCAACTTCAGTTGATTCGAATGAGGCTTCAATTTTATATCCAAAATTGATTTATCATGCAATCCCAAGACTTTTTGCATATCTTTGTCAATAACATTCACACTGCACAACGTATTAGATTTTTCAAGGTATTTCATAATATCGAAAATATTAAATTGCACTTTCTCACCATCAAATTCCATATAAAGTATACCTTGTTTCACATCAATTTTAGTTTGTGCGGTGCACATAAATGGTCTACCTAGTAAAATCGGTGCAGGATTTGGAAAATTATCATCATGCATATCAAGCACATAAAAATCAACCGGAAAGATTAATTCGTTAACTTGCACTAGGACATCTTCAATCATTCCTTCAGGGTAAGCATTTGTCCTATCGGCTAGTTGAATAATAATTCCAATTTCCTTTAAAGGTCCAATATTCAGAGATTAGTAAATAGACTTAGGCATCACATTAATTTCAACTCCTAAATCTAACATTGCTCGTTTAATCTCCAACTTACCTATCTTACAAGGAACCGAGAACATACCTGGATCTCCACATTTAGGAGGAAGCTTACGTTGTAAAATGGAAGATACGCTTTCGCCAGCAATAATGCATTCGTCTCCACGTAGTCTTTTCTTGTTCGCACAAAGATCCTTTAGAAATTTTGCATACTTCGGCACTTGCTTGTTGCATCCAATAAGGGTATGTTCAATTCCACCTTTCGAAACATCTCCATCATCTCCTTATTTTTGTCATCCTTCTTTGGTTTCTCCAACCTGCAAGGAAACGGTGCAACATTAGTTTTAGTACTAGTAGGTGTATCGAAAGTTACCTTGTTCAATGTTTCAGCGGCAACTTGCTCTATTTCTTTCTCAATGCCGTCCTCATTCTTGTCATTTGGAACTCCAATATTTGATACTTCCAAATCTTTTCCATTTTGTATAACAATTGAGCTCACATTCTTCGGATTGGCGTCGGGTTGTGAGGATAATCTGCCTTTTTCTCTTGACTTCATCTCGCTCATATCATTCGCTATTTGACTTACTTATTCTTCCAAGTTCCTTATGCTATTCCGAGTTTCTTGTTGAAATTGCAACATTTTAGACGCCATAGTTTTCATCATATCCTCTGAAGAATTACTCGGAACCGTTTGAGAGGGTTGTGGAGGGTGATTAGGTGCTGAGAATCCTCTCGAATGATCTTCAAAGTTAGTTTGTCGATTCCCATACTTTAAGTTCGACTGATCATTCCATCCTGGATTGTAGGTATTCGAGTAATGGTTGTATGCTCTTGGGATGAATCCTGCAACACTGACATCTACTTTTTGACTCAAAGTAGGACAAATAGCAGTAGGATGTTCCTAACTTGCACATATCCCACAAGCCTTAACTTGTGTCTTTCCTACAACAAATTGTTGAACAAATGAAGTTAGTTCAGTCAATTGTTGTTGAATAGAACTCACATCGCTTGCTTCTTTAATTGCTACTGCTTCTCTTGGTCTGAACTGTTGTGAGTTCATCGTCATATTGTTCAGTAAGTCCCACACATCTCTAGGAGTTTTGTTCATCAAGGCCCCTCCACTTGCTGCATCTATGATTCTTCTATCAATGGAAGTCAAACCTTCATAGAAATATTGAATCAGTAATTGCACGGGGATTTGATGATGGGGACATCGAATAAGTAAAGCATTAAAACGGTCCCAATATTCAAATAAAGACTCCCATGTATGTTGTGTCATTTGGCATATCTTTTTCCTCATGATCGCAGCTCGTGAAACGGGAAAGTACTTTTCGAGAAATTTTTTCTTCATATCAGTCCATGTAGTGACGTTTCCGGCAGGTAGATTGAATAGCCAATCTTTTTCAGTATCTTTCAGTGAGAAGGGAAAAACACGAAGTTTAATTTGATCTTCTATTACTTCTTGCGGCTTCATACTTGTGCAGACGACATCAAGTTCTTGGAGATGCTTATGTGGCTCTTCTCCTGACAACCCATGAAAAGAAGGCAACAAGTGTATTAGTCCTGATTTTAATTCAAAAGCACTATTACCGTCTACCGTCGGGTATGCTATGCAGAGATGCTGCTGAGTTAAGTTATGAGCTGTCAGTTCCCTTAGTATCCTTTAATCTATCTCTTCTTCTAGCTCTAACTCGTCAGAACTCAAATTGCTAGATGATTCTAAAACTAAATCTTTTTGGCGATGCTCCCTAGTTTTTTTTCTAATCGACGCGCAGTCTTCTCAATTTTGGGATTGAAACTCAAGATTCCTGTGCGATCAGATCTCGACATAAACCAGAAAAAGTCAAATTTTTTAGATAATAGATAACAACCAAAGATAAATAAACCAATTAGAATTCCCCGGCAACGGCGCCAAAATTTGACAGGCGTTTTTCACACGCTGTAAAATTTAAATAAAAATAAACCTACTTCTGCAATAAAAATAACGTAGTATAGATAAAGTAGGGTTGTCTCCTCAAGGAATTAAAAAGGTTATATTTTTGATTGTTTGATTTATAAATATAATAAAATGGGGGGATTTTGTAAGAAGGAAATAAAAATAAAATAACAAACTAATAACTCTACTACTAAAAGATAAATTCAATAAAAATAAGTTTTCAGTCTAGGAATGAAATTGAAAACTTGGGTAGTGGATTTGGTCATCGATAAATATTTAATTTTATTGGTTTCTAAATAAATTAGTTATAGTTACCGACACGCGCCTAATAACCAATTCTTCATTAATTTCATGACAGTCTAGGTACGTCCGTCAACTGCTTCCCTAGTTAGAGTAGAACCCTAGTGATGCCACAAAGAATTTACTAGCCTAACCGCCTTGCAAACTAGAATAGACTAATTTAATTTAACAATTAACTATGCGAAATTTTTTAAAACTGATTCCGTGATTTTCTAATGGTGTCTGCCACTAGTTTCTACTTGAACAAAATTAAAACACAATTACGGAGCCCTAATTTAGTTTAGCAATTAATCCTTAATCCAATTGAAATTTCTGGCCACAATACCCAACCAAATAAAAGATCACTCAAAGAAATTAGAAATCACATGAATACTTAGAAACCAAAGAAATATAATAAATCAAAACAAGTCTAATCTTTCAAATCCATACAAAGTTGTTTTCCACTCCTAGACTAGAAAAGTAAACTACTCGCTAATCATAGGAGGAAGAACAAAGAAGAAGAAAGCAAAGAGAAACCTAATGATATTGGTAGGGGTAGAACTTGAAATCTTCTTGGCAGAATCTTTCTCCTTCTTGCCCTTGCATGGTTTCTATCTGGAACTCTTTTGCACGGTGTTCTTCTCGGCAAGTGGCATAAAGTGACGTCTCCCCCTTCTTTCTTTCCTTTATATTTGCCCTAATTTTGTAACAATTGGGCCTTGGACCTTTTTGTTCCCTTTTCCCACTAATTATATCAATTTTTTTATTTTTCTCCTGCAAATTATAAATAAATAATATATGTCAAATCAGGTAGAATCTAATCAAAATTAACCAAATATCGCAAATAATATAAATATTCAACGCATGCGATTTATGGCTATCAGGAATCTATATTGCATTATTCGTAGACGCAAATTCAAAAAGCTCCAGCAAGGAATGCCGTCAGATCAAGCACCATTGTTCCAGTTAGTCAACCTGGGGTAATTCCCACACAAGAATCCATGATTACGACCCAACCAAAACGTCGAGGCAGGCCACGAAAGGAAAAAGCCTTGGAGGCTGCAACAGGGACTCAAAGCCAGCATGTATATACATTTATTAATGAATTTTTACTCTAACATTACTAATTACCCAATGATTGTGTAGGGACCATCTATATGGGAGCAACTGCATGACACAGGAGCAACCCACATCCTCCGCACTGTCTCAGCACCAGAACCACCACCACCACAACGTGTGGATAGGATCCCAAAATGTGGTAAACAACCAATGTTTACAAGACGGTCATCAACTCGATCGCAAGTTGGGCAAGCTATGGTTCAAGGGCAGCGGTTCGTTAGCGTGGAGGACCTCAGTACGGTACTTTCTACAGAGACAGAAATGTGAAGTATCTTGTGTCTAAACTTTTCTATAGAAGTGGTAGTAATGACAACAATTCTACATTGTAGTGCTTGTTTATGAACTATGTTTTGGGTGACATAACTCATTTTGTTGCATTGCGTTGTGATATATGTTTTGAATTATGTTAAAGATAGCACACCTTCTTCTGTGAATTGGTGGACAATTTCAGTTTGTTGAATGATATTGTGTCACCTCTTTTCGATTATACGTAGTAATGCACACGTTATGCATACGTTATGATTTATTTTTTATTGAAAGAATGCACAAGTGTGTAGGAAAGCACAGGTTGTATTGTAGTGATGTAAATGTGTGTAGGAATGCACATGTTGTGTTGTAGCATTGCACAAGTTGTATTAATATGATTGATGTTTAATTACGTAACACAAAATAATTGTAAAAATACACTTCCACATAAATATATGTTCACAACATACAACAAAATAAAATAGACTTACACTTCCACATAAAGATATGTTCACAACATACAACAAAATAAAATAGAATTCCACATGCTCCAAACATTAACGACTCTCGGGATTCAATGCACATACATGCTCTTCGTTCTACCATCCATCAATTATAATTTAAAGCAATCAATCCACAAAGCATATTACTCGATCAATAAAACGTCTGGACAACCTTTTACACCATTGTTATGCAGTAGGTAGACGATGAATATCATTCCAACAACAACAATACTAACTAAATATGCAACACAGAGGCCTCTGTTATTTTTCTTTCTGAGAAGCACAATCTTCTTCTTTTTTGCATCTAATTTCTTCAATAGCTCAGAAATAACAACCTTACTCCATCGAAAAATTGGAGGCTCTTCCCACTAGAAGTAACCACATCCCACTCCACTATTCTGATTTTTTTTTAAAAAAAATTAATTATCATCTACGAATGTTCATATATGCTTAATTTTGTTTTTACAAACATAGATTTTGAATTACCTTATAATATCTACAAGAGTGGAATCGACAACCTAGGTTATCATTGGTCCAATAACACCTCAATTTTGCCTTCACCCCGCAGTCGCATTCGACAGATCCAGTAACATCGGAGAAATCTGCGGTGATTTGAGACATCAACGTATTTTCCCTTGATATGCCCGTGACATAAATTGAGGAAGACGACGATGTCGGTCGGCTTGGAAGAATTGAGGTGGAACACCAAAAAAATTCAAAGAAATTAGATTACGTTGAAGACGAAGACGATGAATGAGATTGAAATTAAATATATAAGATTTGTAATTTAATCCTTCAGGGTTAAATTGCAAATATCTAGGGATCAATCAGCAATTTGTATTTTATAAAATTTAAATAATTAAACATTTATTAAAATTTCGAACACATGCCACTTACAATGTGCCACGTGTTATTGGGTCCCGGGTGCGCGTGGAATTGCATGTCACGTGACTGTCAGGTGCGACGGGAGGACATAAATGGCAAGTTTTGTAAAGGTGCGGGATATATTTTACTAGGGTGATAAATTGATGACAAAAGCGATAATCAGGTATAGGTGCAGGATATTTATTGCAATTTCTCGTATTATAAAACACTAATAGAAATATTTTTGTTATTTTCCCTTGATTTGTACTACGTTTTCATATAAAAATTAATATTCAAAGACCAACACGCAAAAAATAAATTGGACCATTGGAGCCGGACGGAAGTAGTATTAAATTAAAATATTCACAAAGCATATTATAATTATATAAGTTTTATAAAATAAAATAAATGCGATAAAATATTTAAATAATTTTATTTGAATATAAATAAATAAATAATTTTAATATTTTTCTTGTGTTTGTGTGAAATCCTATTGTATTAAATTAAATTGTGTGTAAAAGATACATTATATAATTTATTTATTTATTTATTTTATATAAAAACTTATAACAATTCCCAAAAAAAACTACTAAATGATTGATATATTATTTGGTTCTTTATTTTATTCAAAAATTCTATTCAAGATATTTTATTATTTTTATTTTTATAAAATTTGAGCAATCAAAATTATATTTAAAATCAAACATCAATTTTGATAGAATGTATCTTTTACACACAATTTAATTTAATACAATAGGATTTCACACAAACACAAGAAAAATATTACATAAAACCCTTCCTTTTATTTATCAATAAAAATATAGTATAAAATGTATTATTTTAAATATATATATATATATACATTTTGTCATTGTACATACCTAAACTAAACACACTATGGGTGTCTTTGTTGAGGGATTTGATTTTGAATTTGAATTTTAAATATGTTCTTTGTTTACTATGAAATATAATTGTTTATATTTTAAAATAAGTTTTAGAATATTAATATTTTATTTATAATAATATAATAGAAAGATCAAAATATATTTTTACCCTTATATCTATTTAATTTTTAATTGGAATTACAAAGGAAGAAGACGTTTTCTGAGCCTTATCAATCATTACTTTTGAGAGGAACCATATTTGTTTCATTTTGGCGATGATGGAATCATTAAGCGTTGTGTATCCAACGCATTCTTCATGAGTGTCATGGCTCATTCGTAGGTGGTTGTTTCGTGACTCAACGCACTGTTGCTGAAGTACTCCAATTTGGATTCTACTAGCCAACAATACACCATGACGCTTAGACATTTGCCAGACAATGCAATACGTACCAGAGATTGAGTACTATCACAAAATGCGATGAAATGATACGGAAGGGGATTCTAAATGTTGATTTGTTCAATATGTTGGGTATCGACTTTATGTGACCATTTCCTAAGTCTTATGGGAACATATAAATCTTGGTTGCAGTGGACTATGTCAGCAAATTGATTGAGGCAGTTGCTCTTTCAGGTAACCAAATTC